CGCCTCCGAAAACATCTGGCACGCACGCATGGGACACCCAAGCAACACAGTGTTAAATAATACAATCAGAGCAGGCGTTCTTGACAAAGACTCGTTACTACTACTCGACGGCAGAGAGCTTCAACGGGCACGAGGAACATGTCTTACCTGCCCCGAGGCCGACTTACCACATCGGCCGTTCACTTCTCATCACAACCCGAGCACACCTGCTTACGCACCACTTGAGAAGGTGTACAGCGACATCCTGTACAACCGGGAACCAGGACAAGGAGCATACAACTTTACAATCACCTTCATCGACACCGCCACCCGCTACGTCTGGCATCTAAATCTACCAAGCCGCGACATGGCCTTCGAAGCCTTCGTTGCCTGGCTACCAGTAGCAGAGAGAGAATCGGGCGTGAAGCTGAAAAGCTTCCAGTCAAACGGAGGAGGAGAATACACCTCTCAGAGATTCAAGCAGTACCTGGCGGAAAGGGGAATCAAGCGGCTCATCTCGCTTCCCTACGCCCATCAACAGCAAGGTGTAGCAGAAAGAATGAACAGGACCCTGCAGAATAGCATGCGCAAGCTGTTACGTGGCATGCGGCTACCCAACCACCACTGGCATGAGGCAATGGACCACGCCGTCATGCTACACAACTTGCTCTCGTCATCATCGCTTCTGAACAACGCATCACCGCATCTGCTGTGGACAGGGAAACAGGGCAGCACAAAAATGTTACGAGTCTTCGGATGCATGGTACAGTACCGACCCCCAGCAGCACGAGCGGGCCAATTTTCCCAACGCGCACAGTGGGGATTATACCTGGGCATCGAAAAGAACTACAACGCATGGAAAATCTTTGACAACCACTCCAAGGAAATAGTAGCAGCACGCGATGTAATTTTCTATGAACGACTCACGCTCCAGACGTATCTTGCCAACCTGCAAGAAGACCAAGATCCCATAGGTGGCTTCCGTGGTGACCGAGCCTTCGCCTCGGCAGCAGACGAAGCTGACTGGGACGAGCAGAATGTGGACAACGCATCAGAAGAAGCCGGACCTCTTCCCTACTGCTCCGTTGATGTCCCCATGGACGACGAAAACCCTCGCGAAAGTGTCAACGCCGAAACCTTCTACTATTTCGCCGACAACGGTTACGTAACATCTGCGACAGTCAACACCAACGAAGCAGAGCAACTAGGGCCGAATTTCATACCTAACCCAGAAGCGGGAGACGAAGCAGTTTATCCCGAGGATGCAAATCTCCCCCGCTACTTATAGAGTGGAATGCAAATTCTCGGCCTTGTCACCGCAGTCCACGGCACGGCTCTTCCTAAGGAGCCTGCGACGATTCAGCACGCTCTGGGGGGGGAACATAGGGAGAAATGGCGTGAAGCCATGGACAGAGTTAAAGGCGCTGAAGGAACGGAACACCTGGAAAGTCGTTCCCCTCAGCGTGGCAAGAAACAAGACAGTACTCACCGGGAAATGGGTCTTCCGTGTTAAAACAAAAGTAGATGGGACAATTGAGAAGTTCAAAGCACGCTGGGTTGTGCGTGGATTCGATCAGCAGCACGGACGGGACTTCACCGAGACATTCGCCCCAATCAGCCGACATACCTCACTTCGAATCCTCCTCGCGATCGCCGCCATGAAAAAGAAGAAGCTACGGCAGATCGATGTCGCCAACGCGTTCCTCTACGCACCTGTCGACGCGGAGATCTTCGTCGAGCTCCAACACGGTTCCAACGGAGAGCCTAATCAAGCCTGTCAGCTGTTGAAGTCGCTCTACGGCATTAAAGAAGCCCCGAGGCTGTGGCAACAGTACCTACACGCCAGGCCCCTCCGCAACGGTCTCCGCCAGCTACCTCACGACCAAGGAATGTACCGGCTTACAAAAGGCGACGATTACATCCTACTCATTGTCTACGTGGACGACTTACTCTACATCGGCTCTACCGACAACATCACCACCTGGTTCGAAGGGGAGTTACAAAAGGATCGCACGCTCACAGTCTCTCCTACCGTCACGCAGTACCTTGGTCTGAACATCCGGGAAGAAGAGTGCGCGATCTACCTCAACGCCGCTAAATACGCCGACACCATCGCCAAACGCTTCGCACTCACGCCAACCACCATCTCCATGCCATACCGCTACACGGCAGGAAACCACAAGGAAGGCTCCACTCCACTCAAGCCTGCCGGGATACGCGACTACCAGAGAAAGCTGGGATGCCTTCTCTTCGCAACTGTCACCTGCCGCCTGGATCTATCATACTCTGCAAGTCAACTCGCCACCTACCTCAAAAGGCCTGAAGCTGAACACATGGCGGAGCTCGACCGCGCTCTTCACTACCTCGTTAGCACGCCGACGATCGGCCTGACCTACTACAAGAACGGAACTACAACGCCGAAGTTAATCGGCTACGTCGACGCCGATCACGCCTAAGATTCTGACAACAGACGCTCGCGTATAGGTTACATCTACCGCCTCGAGCCTATCGGACCTATCTCGTGGCAGTCGAGCAAGCAGGAATTAATCGCTCTCTCCTCAGCTGAATCAGAATATATCGCACTCTGCTCAGCCACCAAGGAAGGATTGTACCTTCGCGAACTCTTGGATGAAGCGAAGCTGGCTCAGTTACCCAGCTTCATGTAAGAATGTTATCATCTAGCCTGTAGTGGGGTGCTCTATAGCGAGTACAACCCAGTTAGGGTTTCCTATATGTATCCCAACTGTTGCTAGTGAAACCCCTCTCTTTTGCCTAAACTTTCACTTGCCTAGCTAGGGCTTACCTAGCTATGGCTCCTCGTTATGCCTACGATTCTAATATGCTATCAGAGCGATCACGCTCCTGGCCTGTGGGCCCACCTGCTTCCGCTGCCCTACTCTGTGTCGCGCGCCCCGGAGCGCGTGACCTTCAATTTTTCTGCCCGCCGTGCGCCCCGAGGCGCGCGGCGGTTTCCTGCCGTGGAGGAGCCCGCGCGCGCCCCGCTTGTTCGTCGCGGCGCCCTGAGGAGCCCGCGCGCGCCCCGCCTGTTCGTCGCGGCGCCCTGGGGAGCCCGCGAGCGCCCCGCCCGTCCGTCGCGGCGCCCTGGGGAGCACGCGCGGCCCCCACCCTGCTCGTCACGGCGCCCTGGGGAGCACGTGCGGCCCCCGCCCGTTCGTCGCGGCGCCCTGAGGAGCCCGCGCGCGCCCCGCCTGTCCGTCGCGGCGCCCTGAGGAGCCGCGCGCGCGCCCTCCTCCGCCCGTCCGTCGCGGCGCCCTAGGGAGCCGCGCGCGCCACCCCCCTCCCCCCGTCCCGCCCGTCCGTTTTGGCGCCCTGGGGTCGCGAGCCGTCCCCCCTCGCCGTCCCCCGCGCTCCTGCCCCTATCCCACCCGTTTTAGGGTTTGGGGGTGAGGAGTGTGGGGGTGGCGGTTGTGGGGGTGTTGGTTGTGTTCGTCGTCCCCTACTCCCCCGCCTCCTTCGTCTCCCACTGCTGCAGCTGTCGCTGAGGGGGGTGGTGTGTGGGAGCCTAGGGTTTAGGGTTTAAGGAGGGTGCTGTGGGAGTGGAGCTAGGGTTTGAGCTGGGGGTGTGTGTCGAGGGTGTGGGGCAGTTGGAGGAGGTTGTGTGAAGGTAGCTGTCGTGTCGCCTGCAGCGCCTGTAGTCCGTCGCCCTTGCTTCGGCTCTAACACTTCACTCTGTTCTGCGACAACCAGTCGGCAATTCGTATAGCCAACAAGAACAGATTCGCGAACAGAACGAAGCATATCGCCCTGCGATATTTCTGTTGGGCTGAGATGCCCTAGGATCTTTGTAGAGTTAAAGTCTGAGTAGGATTGTAATAGCGGAAGCGTTTGAATGAAAAGTCCTTGAACCACCTTGCGCTAGTATGTGAGGGCAAAGTGAGTTGATTAAAACAAGCAAATACAAGGCTTTATATAAGAGTACAAGGAATACGAATAGATATAATTAAACTGTTTTGCTGTTGCGATTCGATACAGTGCGACTCGGGCAACTGCTCAATGTCGAGTCAGTTGTGTGTCCTTGCTGTCGCGCTGTATTTGTCAAGTCAAAGGTCGCTGACTTTTGACCTTCGCGTAACCTCCAGGCGGTTACCCTAACCTCCGAGGGTTGACTCGCGATGCTTCGATTTGGACTGCTTCGCTTGTGTCCTGAGTTTCGACACGACTGAGGCGCTTTAAGACTTATTGTTCCCAACAATTTCTTCGTGAAAGACGAAATCGAGAAGGGGTGACTTGAGTTATCCTACTGCCCCACGTCCGAGATGGCAGCAGATTACTTGACCAAGAAGCTTGGAAAGCATAAGTTCGAATACTGCATGTTGCTGACTGGACAGAGCCACGTCACCAGTAGCGACACTCCAGAAGCGAAGGGGAGTGTTGGGAACAAGTAAGCTAAATGCGCATGTGTCGTGTCGAAACACCAAGTCAGAAGCGAAGCATAACATATCGAAGCATCGGCGAGTCAGCCCTCGGAGGTTGAAACAACTGTTGGAGGTTACGCGAAAGTCAAAGGTCAGCGACCTTTGACCTGATAAGTACAGCGCGACAGCAAGGACACACAACTGACTCAATATTGAGCAGTTGCCTGAGTCGTCACTGTATCGAACCGCAACAGCAAACAGTAAAGCAGTTATTAACCGTATCTCTTCGTATTCCTTGTACTCTTATATAAACCTTTGTACTTGCTTGTTTTAATCAACTTACTTTGCCCTCACATACCAGCGCAAGGTGGTTCACAAAGTCCTTATCGAACGCTTCCGCTAATACATCATCCTACTCTGAATTTAGTCCTACAAAGATCCGAAGGGCCTTTTCAGCCCAACATTTGACACCCCTGGCCTAAGACTTCTCTTGCAAATTTTGCCCTGATAGTGCAATCCTATCTCATTCCCCAAATGCACTGGTAGCTTCGTGGTATAATTATTGTAAACATTTGTAAGGCTGATAATGAATAATGATAACAATACATATATCTATATCCTATTTTTCCCATGCCTTCCCATATTTTAGTGCCTCCAACTGCCCCCTAGCACGACACCAGCGGCCCTAACATCCCCTCGCTTTGAAAATGATGTGACAGTCTCTAGCCTCTCAGGTCCCTTCATATCCAAATCAGCTGCACCTGCATCCCCCTCATCAGGGCTCATACTTTCATCCCCACTGAAGAACGGATTCCGGCTCCTGTGTCCTTCCCCCTTACAAGTCTCTTGTTCCTCCACCCCTCGCTCTCCAACCACCCCACAATTATCTTCCTGCCGCTCCGAAGCTTGCACCGCTCCAACTGTTCGCCTCTTCCCAAACGGACTGCCCTTCCTCCACGCCCTTTCCTTCTTCCCCTCACCCTCCCCCTCCGCCCCTCCCTCCCTCCTGCCCAACCCCACAGCCTTCTCCCATTTCCTCGCTGCATCCTCTTTCCGAATAAAATCCTCCTCAGCACGCTGATCAGCATTCCAAGGGGAGCCCTCTGCCCTCTCCTTAACAGCACCACATGTGCCTTCTCTAGCCGCCTCGTGCACAACCTCACCCGCAGCCTTTGCACCACCACCACCACCATGCCCACCACCAGTGACCTGCGGCGTCTCAGAAGCTTCCCTGGGCGACTTGCTCTTGCAGAGAATCGATTGAACCCTAACCCCCTCCACTTCCCCAACCCCACCCCCGGCCCCACCTTGCGCGTCTCTCTCTCCTGCCCTCCCTGCTGCGTCCGCCTCAGCCCCATCTGCCCGCCGCCCGCCCCTCTTCTCCTTCTTCAGGCTTGGCGATCTCCGGGGCAGGCTCGGGCTCCTGGCCTCCAGGCTCGGGGTCCTAGCCTCAAGCCCCAGCAAATCACCTTCAACCACGTCAGCACCTGGAGAGAGGGACTCTAAGACTGGCTGCCGCATCATCTGCTTGACGACCTCCGTTGACTGCATTGACTGGTTTGACCGGTTTGACCGGTTTGACCTGGGAGAGTGTTCGTCCTCCACTGGTGACCCTCGGGCCTTTCTGCTCTTCCGCCGCTCGCCCTGCTGCGTGCTGCCTGGGCTGCACCCACCACCCTTGCCCTCCCCCCTCCTCGCCCTCCCACGTCCTCCCTTGGCCTGCTTCCTGTGACCATCGGGTGATTGCTCTTCCTCACCCGCTCCCTCCTTCTCCACTCCTCTGCTGCTGCTCCTCTTGTTGTCTCTGCTGCTCCGGCTGTTGTTGAGTCGCCTCCGGGGCTTCAACCCCCACTCGCTTTCTGTTGCTACTACCCTGCTCTCTCTTCTCCCCTCTCTTTCCCCCTCTCTCTCCTTCCCTCTCTCCTCTTCTCTCTCAATCTTTCCAACCTGCTTCTCACTCTTGGACCCATCATCACCCCTGCTACCCCTCCTGCCCCGGCTGCCACTCCTGCTTCTGTCACTTCCACCCCCCTTGCTTCTGCGCCTGAACCCACTGTCCCTGGACGTTGCTGACGTCACGCTGCTCCCAGCTGACGTCATGGACGCCGTTCGTCTTGGTACAGGTAATCTCCCTCTAGTCTGACGTTCCATGTCTCCCTCCTTCCCTCCCTCATGCCACATTTCCTCTTCTCCTTCTTCCTCTTCCTCATCATCCTCGTCACTCCCTGGCCCTTGAAACACCTCCCACTCCCCACTCGTCCACATCCCCTTCCTCCCCCTCTCCCTGCTCTTGCTGCTCCTCCTCCCTCCTCCCCCCTTGCTGCTGCTGCCTTCCCCTTTGCTGCTGCTCCTCCTCTCAACCTTCCGACCAGTATCATCACACAAAGATTCGCACACTGCCTCCCTCCTTCCCTCCTCCCCTCCATCCAACTCTCTCTCTTCCAACGCACCTTCCCGTCTCCCTCCTTTCCCTGCTTTCCTCTCCCTCCCCTCCACCACCACCAGCTTCTTCTCTGTCTCATAGCTAGTTGCACTGCCCCAATTGCCATTCCCCCCACCACCGTTCACTCCGCCATTCCCATTCCTCCCTCCACCATTGTCACTCCCTACACCATTATCCTTCCTCCCATCGAGCCGACCAGCACCCACGCTCCCCCCCTTCATCCTCCCCATCGCTGCCTGCCCTCCCTGCCTTACAACAGGAGTGGTCGACCGAGTGACAGGCGAGGGTGAGCGAGCAGACGCGACAGCAGCAGAGAGACGAGCAGCAGCAGAGCGCGGAGCAGCAGGAGAGTGCGGAGCGAAAGGAGAGCGCAGAGCAGCGGAAGGAGAGTGAGGGGCAGCAGGAGAAGGTAAGCCGCCAGTGGGGGAGGGAGACCTGCTCCGCTTGCCATCAGGCACAAGCAGCCGCTTCAACGGAGAAGCGAGCATGCTTATAGGGGAGACGGTACGCCTTAGCGAACGGTTGGAAGTGCGAGCAGGGGAGACGGGGGAGGTGCTCCCAGTTGAGGGGTGTGTGGGGGAGGTGCGTGTAGGGGAGGTGTTTCTAGTTGAGGTGCGTGTTGGGGAGGTGCGTGCGGGTGAGGTGCGTTTAGAGGAGGTGCGTTTAAGAGAGGTGCGTTTAGGGGAGGTAGACCTGCTCGTTGGAACCGTTGACTTGGTCAATGCAGGTTTGACCAGCGTGGACTTGCCTGCAGGGGAGCGCAGCGCAGATTTGGGCGAGTGGATCGTGGCTGTGGGCGGGTACAACTGGCTGAAAGGGGAGGTTGATCTGAGGGAGGTAGATCCAAGAGGGGAGGTAAGCTCGTGCAGAGGGGAGGTAGGCTCATCAAGTGGGGAGGGGACCTTGAGGGGAGAGGTGGAGCGGCGTCTGCTGCCAGGCAGGGCCTGCTCTATGGCTTTTCCCAGCACACTGTCCCCCTGCGGCTCCCCCCACCTCTTCCTCTGCCTCCGCCCGCTGCTGCGCTCGCCCGCTTCCTCCTCCTTCTCCCTCCGCGCCTCTTTCTCCTGCTCCTGCTGCTGCTGTTTCTGCTGCTCCCGCTTCAGATGCTGCTGCTGCTGCTCCCGCTTCAGCTGCTGCTGCTGCTGCTCCCTCTGCTGCTGCTTCTCCTGCTGTTCCCTCCGCTGCTGCTGCTGTCGCTGCTGCTGCCGAACCTGCTCCTCCTTCCTCGCTCTCTGCTCTTTCTCCCTCCCCTCTGCACCCTCATCTTCCATAACCACCTCCGTCCCCTCCTCCGAATCTGCACACGAACTTGACACCAGCGAAGCTGCGTAAACGCCCACTGCAGCTTCCCCTTCGCTTACCAGTTCCTTCTCTGTATCCACTACCACCTCCCTCTCCCCTTCTTCTTCCTCCTCTTCCTCCTCGTCCTCCTCCTCTTCTTCCTCCTCATCCTCCTCATCATCCTCACTCCAATCAGACCCGTAACTGTCGTCCCCATGCCGTTCCAATACCTTCTCCCCTTCATACCGACCTCCACCCCTCTCCTCTCGTACACAACCACGCACTGGAGCAGCAGCAGCAGCCGCAGCAGCAGTGGCGACAGGGGAGGCGGTGGCAACAGCAGCAGCGGCTGTCTTACCAGCAAAAGCTGCAGTAGCCGCAGGGAAAGAAGCAGCAGCAGCGTCAGCAGAGGCTACGGCAGCAGTGGCAGCAGCAGCAGTGGCAGCAGCAGCAGCTGCAGCAGCAGCAGTGGCGACAGGGGAGGCGGTGGCAGCGGTATGGGGCATAAGGGCAGGCGAGGAGGGCGGAAGGGACTGGGAGGTGAAGGGGGAGGAGAGGGAGGTGAGGGAGCCCAGAGAGAGAGAGATCTTACTGCCGTCTGATGACCCCGTCACAGCTGCTCCGGCTGTAGCGCCTGCAGCATCTGTAGCGGCAGTCGCGGCTGTAGCGGCAGTCGCGGCTGTAGCAGCTGTGGCAGCTGAAACAACTGTAACATTGTGTTCACGTGCCCCCTGCCTGTCTGCTGCTGCGTAGTCTTGAAACGTCTCAATCATTGTCGCACGTGCCCCCTGCCTGTTCACTGCTGCGTCTGCTGCATACGTGTCGAGTTCACCTGAGAAACCTGATATTTCACCTGAGAGGGCTGACGCCGCAGCAGTGGCCCCACCTGAGGAGAGAAAGCTGGTACAGCTTCTGTCGTCCTCTGTGGCACTCTTTTCTCCCCCACCCACCTTCTCGCCCTCACCCCTCTCGGCGTCTTCCCCCTCTTCCTCTTCCTCTTCCTCCTCCTCGTCGCTACTACTACCATTTTCACTGTAATTGCTCTCACTCTCTTCCTCGCTCTCCTCCCCCTCGCTTTCCCCCTCACTCTCCCCCTCCTCACTCTCTTCCTCACTCTCTTCCCCCTCACTCTCCCCATCCCACTCCCCTCGTCCTTCAACCCCCACAGCAGGCAAGGAGGAACGACTAGCAGCGCCACCACCCACCGCAAACCCGGGCGTGTCAACAGAGCTTCGGCACGACGCCCCTCGAACCAGCGTAAGCGAGCTATCCGACTCTCCCACTCCCCTCCTCCTCGCCCCCACGCTCTCCCCTTCTGCTCCTGCTCCCCCTGCCCCTCCCCTCACGCCCTGGCTCGCACCCAGAGAGAAACTGTCAGAGGGCGGACAGGGGGCAGAGAGAGGGCTGGGGTCAGAAGGACCAGAGGGAAGGGGGGAGGAGCCAGAGGGAGGGGGGGAGGAGCCAAAGAGGAGGTCCGAGATCCGGGCGGCGGTGGGGGTCATCATTGTCGCTGCTGCCACTGCTGCCGCCCACAGCGCTGGCTTCGCCTCCGGCCCCGCTGGCAGTCCAGCTGGCAGTCCAGCTGGCGAAGCGGGATTGACCAGTCCGGGAGTTGGGGTACTAGCGTGAGCAAGGGGAGTGGTGGGGGCAGCTGCGGAAGGCGCAGCAGATGGGGGTATGGCAGGGGGCATGGCAGAGGGAGGCGTGGCACGGGGGGTTGTGTCGGGGAGTGTGGCGTTAGCAACAGTGCGAGGAGCAGCGCCCTTCATTGCACTCTTCCCTGTCACCCTCGCTTCAGCTTTCTCTCCCTGGTGGATCTGCACCTCCTCTGTCACAATCTGCTGCTGCTGCTGCTGTTTCTGGTGCTGCTCGTGCGTTGGTCGGTTTGCAGCCGGATAGCACTCTGTTTCGGGAGCAGCTGCTGCTACCTCTAACGGGTCCACCTGTAACGCGGATGCTGCATTGGGAGAGGGAGCGTCATGCTCTTCCCAAAGAAAGGCGTCTGTAGCAGGAGGGGAGAGGAAAGGGTTCGTGGGATGCAGTTGCAACTCATTCTCACACGTCCCCCCTATTTGTGAATACCCTTGCAGTGCCCCCTGCTCCGCGCTCACTCCTGCCTCGTCCCACACGCCCACCGCCCATGCCGGTTCGTCTATCGAGGGTGACTGTATCAGGTCCCCTGCTGTTCCATCCAGCCATGCTTTTACTGCCGAGCCATCTCCCGATGTTCCATGTGTCACCCTTTCGGTTACTGCAACTGCTGCTGTCTTTGCTCCTGATTCCTCCCCTGCTGCTGCTACTGCTGATGTACCGACAACAGCAGCAGCAGCAGCAGCACCACCACCACCACCAGCGGCAGCATGAGGAGTGGCATTACCAGCAGCATTGACAGCACCAGCAGCAGAATCAGTCACAGCAGCACAAGGGGCATTGGCAGAACCTAGCCCCACAGCACTCTGGCTTTCCTGTTCCTGTGACGCTTCCATCCCAGCCAGCGTCCACACACCCTCTCCGTTCACCTCTCGCCACACCAAAGCAGGCCCGCTCCTCCTCCCACCGCTCTTCACCGCACTGCTCCCCGAACCTGATCTTACCAGCCCCACACCTCCCGCCACAGTCGTCCCAGCCTCCACACTCCTGCCTACACCCTGCTCTCCCTCCTCCTCTTGTCCCACCTGCTTACCCTGCTCCGCCTGTTCTCCAATCCCCTCTCCTCCGGTATACACCCTTCCCTCCTTTCCAGCAGCGGCAGCAGCAGCAACAACACCACCACCACCTCTTCCATCAATCTTACAGCCAATCCCAGCCTGCAGATTCGCCACGTCATCAACCGACTCCCATGGCAGCGGCATCCCCTTTATAGGCGGCGGCCGCATCTTCTCCAGACTCGCTCGCCCGCTGTACACTGGCGGCCGCGCGACGGCTCCTGGCGTGGCAGGCCGAGCTGGCAGGACAGGGCATGCTGACGTGGCAGCGGGACGAGGAGAGGCAAGAGCTCCTGGAGCCACTGCCACATCAGCTTCCCCAGCAGCACCACGTCCCCCACCGCCCTCCCTGTGACTGTTCTCTTTCGAAGGGGAATCAGATGCCCACAGGGGGGGCAGGACGGATAACCCATCACCACCACTCGCATTACCCCTCGCATCCCGCACGCCTGCACTCCCCCTATCCTGCACACGCCCCCTCTCCTGCACCCCACCCGTTCCTCGCGGACTGGCTCGTTCCTGGAAACCGTTCAAACCGCTCAACCCATTCGAACCGTTCTCCCTTCCACTGCCTCCCCTCGGCGGCATTGGCATCGGAGGAGGGGATGCAAGTGGAGCACTGGCCATTCCATTCCCAGACTGTCTATTCTCTCTGTTCTCCCAATTCTCCTTCTGTCCCTGCGCGTGCTGCTCCCCGCCTCGACCTGCCTTCCCTGCTTCCACTCCTGCTCCTGCTAGATCTCCCGCCGGCCCCTCACCCACCACTCCTGCTCCTCCTGCCCCTGCGGTTCCAACTCCCCTGAGCTCGGCGCTCTCCGCCATCCCCGCTACACGCATCCCCATCATCATCTCTAAGCTCGAAATCGCGTTTTCGGGATTACCGAACGTGTTTAAGATGGTCCCGGGCACGGCTGCCGGGAGGTTCCCCACGTCCTGGAACGGTAACCGTGAGGCGCTGGCCGCTGGTGTGAGAACGCGCCCCTGCTGCTGCTGGCTCTTAGCTAAGTGCATCTCGTAGCCGCACGCGCGAAGATAGAGCACCTGGAGACAAAGGAGAGGGGCGAAGTGGAGGGGGGAGGGAGAACAAGAATTATAGAGGAAGCTTGATGAGCAAGAGTGGGTGCTAGCAACTGGTGGGCCGGCGACACCTAACGAAGGAGGGGGTAGGTTATTATAGTAAGGACCTTCTTATACTTCTGCGAAGCCCATTTTTTGATAACCCCACTTCACCTCATCTCGCAGCTTCTTCGCCTCCTCCTCGTGCCTCGCCACTCGTCGCCTCAACTCCGCAACTTCCAGTCTCAACTCGTCCAGCTCCTCGCTGCTCTCCGCGATTCCCGCGCCAAACCCCATCCCGCCACGTGGCACTCGCATGCACGTGCTCTCGCAGGAGCCCACGGAAGATCCGGCGGCTCTCGCGGACTCGCTGCTGCATGACGTGTCCTCCTCGTCCTCAACCTCTTCCTTGAATCGCGCGACTTGCCCCATCTCCCCTTCTCTCCCACCAGACCTACCCGTTCCGCCATTGGTATGATGACTAAGCGGCTTCACGGGACGTGACGCGACAGGAGCAGCAGGCCCAACTACGGCTGCAGCGGCGATGGCGGTCGCGGCGGCCACGTCAGCATCCGGTGTGACGGCTTTAGGGTGGTGAAGATGCGGCGGGTGATTTAGCTGGTGACTATGTCGTATATGCTTAGCTTCAGTAGCACCGAGAGGAGGCAGAATCCCTTCCGCTGCGGCTTTGGCTGTAGCGGCTGCTGCGGCGGCTTCTGTGTTTGGGTTTGGCTGCGAGAATGACTTATCCGGCCACGTGGGCCCGTTGGCTGAGGAAAACGGCTGACGTGGATTCGGGGATTCGTTGGTTGGGAAGACACGAGTCCCACCGGTCGAGAGAAGAACATTTCTCTTGTCCTGAGAGAAAGGGGAATGATCCTGCACGGAAGAGACGCGAGAGAGAAAGAAGACAGCAAAGAGCTGATTTTCCAGTCGGCTTTAGGAGGATAATCGACGTGCAGAATGGACGGGACGTGTGTGAGAGAGGATTGAGAAACGAGACCCTCGCTCAGGTTTCTAAAATCGAAAATAAGTTGGATCCACTACGTAAGAAGCTTTCGGATCCAAGAGAATAAAGGAAAAAACTCATCATATTGACTCAGGAGTAAGGAAAAAACACATCATATTAATGCGAGTTGTGAGATTGCTCATCTGCGAAAATTGACCGCACTAGGAAAAAGAGGATTCTCAATCAATGCCTCACCCGCTTGGCGGTCGTGAGATGGTCGCCGTCATAGTCGCTGTCTTCAAGGGTCGCCGCGGCCATTCGCAGGCCTTCGTGGGACTTGAGCGATTTCTGGCGACCGTCTGCGAAAGAGCTGGAGGCCTCTACGGGGATGGTGCCACCGAAGCAAGCGAGCATCTTGCCTCCGTGTTTCCCGCCTTTTGCCTTCTTGCTGTGCCACATGGTTCTGTAATATTCGATTAACTAAAGTACGCTCGATATTAGAAAATACAGACGTTCGATCGGATTTAATATCTGAATATCCGATAGACCTACGCGAACAACAGAGTAGCTTGGACGCCTAGCTCCCTTTACAACTGCTAATGCGTGCTTGACAATAGTACTGCTTTCTCCGTCGGGTTACTAACAGAAATCGTCATCCTGTCAAAAGCCATCCGAGCAAACAAAGGCGTCCGAAGTGTATGTTCCGTCCTGCCAGACTCTATGGCAAAGTCTAAGAGGAGGCCCTCAGTAAACTCCTAGCAAACCCTGTGCACTGAATGAACGAACAATTCGCGCTGGTGGCTCGGTTTGGCGCATACCACAAATTACGGAAAGACAATCCCAAGGCACATAGCGAATCCTACAGGCGGTGCGGCGCGAGGGGAACGAAGACACTCCCAAGAAGAGTGAACTGGGGAAGCTCTCTAGCCGGAGCTCCGATAGCCTCCGTCGAGCCAAATCGTACGGAACGGACAGCACGGGTTCCGACGGCGTCGGCGCCCCTACAAAGCTGTCGTCCAGTCCCGTGGCTTCAGTTTCCAGAAACTGCAGTTATATTTGCTCCGTTTGCGAAACTGACGGACGCAACGACGGGACGGGAACTGCCTACGGACGATATGGTATGGGTTCTGTTCCGTCCAAACCTCGGGCAGCTCAGTTGCAAATGGAGGGAGCTTTGGTCAAAAGATTCTTCAATTCGTGGTTTGGATGGAGGGAAAATGGCCGTGGCGCGGCACATGAGAGCTTCAGGGGCGCGCGATGTAGTCGGTTCAAAAGTACGCGCCTTTTTTTGCGCACCCCAGCAAACTGCCACCCGGGCCAGGCCACCGAGATTGTCAGAGCACTGTAATTTTGAATTGGAACTGTTGCTGCAAAACGCACGGGCTCTGAGTGATACGGTATCTGCGGGCACCTTCTTTATGCTGTCAGCTCCAAGATATAATCCAAATATTGCTAATCTCAATACAAGGTCATATAATAAGGGATCACAGACTTCCCGGGACGTCAGGTTGTACAACTTTTTTGTGCGCCCGCTGCAGTGCATGCAGAGCTATGAACATAGGAAACCGCTTTTCAACGTATTTAACCGTTCTGGACCACGATGTGTGAGAAATGTACAAAATGACGTCGCCCTGACCAAATCAGAACAAACGGGTCGGGTGGGATGGGATGGTGTGCGCTGTAGAGTGGTTAACATTCCTCACCACTCTGAAATGCTTTCACCTTTCTGTAAACCTCCTACAAGAACTAGAACCCATGATAGGACCATGAAGAAGCTCTGATGACGGCAGCAGGAGGGACGCTCCACACATTCCCTCCTCGGTCTCCCATTTCCTTGCAGCCGCTTTTTTTCGGCCGTCACACGTCACGTCCCATTCTCGGCACTTGTTGAGGTCGCGGTCGAATCAAGGCACTCGCCTCTAACTAGCCGTCCTACCTTTGAAACCTGTGGACCCTGGTTAAAACCAACCTCCCGAGACGGCGCTTTCCTGTCCAACTGTCAACGTCCCTCCTCTACGAACTCTCGGGATCGCGGTTTGTCGACGTCATTCGTACCTCGTCCGTTTCGCAACGTCAATCTCACGACGTCAAATCCTGTCGCGTCAAGATGCTGCCACACCGTCACCCGCACAGCCGGCACTATGGATCATCACGAGTCGCGCTGACGTGCCGCCTCCGCAGACCTCGTCTGATTTTCCAATGCCCAGCGTCAGCCGCGGATCCCGCTAGACTGGAGATATAAAATTCTCGAATTGTCCTGCAACTCTCGCCTATCATTAATTCGCTCCGTTTAAAGACCTTCTGCTATCTTACCGTCCACAACTACCTCCTTGTTACGAATCGTTTCCAAACGCATTTCAATGGCTTCCCGTGCGCTCGCGAGCAACGAGGAGCTGTGGCAGCGGGCGAGCAAGACGGGCACGGGACTGAGTGTTACCACGCTGCGCTTTTCGCGAACCATTTCGCTGGACCAGGTGTGCTGGACGCTGTCGCCTCCTCTTTGTATTTTTCGCCCACCGACATGTCTTTATTTCACCCCGAATTCGAGATACAAAGCGCCGCGAAAGCTCTGCAAAACCATGCTGCGGAATCATGCATTACTGACGTTCACTCCCCCCTACCAGGTGAAAACGGCCGCTGCACTGGCCGCGTCCCAGCACCCCATCCTGGCGGCCAGGATCGTGAGGGTGCAAAAACCCAAACCCCACTGGGAGCTCCGCGTGCCTGGGGACGCTCCCCCTGCTGTGTCTCACATCCCCTCCCATCCCTCCCCCACCGCCAGGTTAAATCGGCCGCTGCTCTGGCCGCGTCCCAGCACCCCATCCTGGCGGCCAGGATCGTGAGGGTGCAAAAGCCCAAACCCCACTGGGAGCTAAACGTGCCGGCTGATGCTCCCCCCGCTGTCACTGTTGCTGCGCGCTCGTGGCACGACGTGCTGGGCGTTGATGGGGCGAGCACGCTGGGCGCTAGCGAGTCGGAGGAGGCGCTGAGGCTGCTGACTGAGGCGGAGATGAACATGCCTATGTCCGGCGCTGTGGTGGGGACAGAGAAGGATGAAGAGCCGACTGATGTGTTCCAGGTGAGAGGCTTTCTCGCTGTCAATCGTAATGCCTTGGGAATGCTCCCCCCGCTGTCCCCGTGGCTGCATTGCATACTCGTGGCACGACGTGCTGGGCGTTGATGGGGCGCTGAGGCTGCTCACGCAAGCAGAGATGAACACGCCCATGGCTGCAGTGGTTGGGGAGAAGGATGAAGAGCTGACCGATGTGCTCCAGGTGAATGACCATTGACAGCGATGTGCTCCAGGTGAATGACCATTGACAGCGATGTGCTCCAGGTGAATGACCATTGACAGCGATGTGTTCCAGGTGAATGACCATTGACAGCGATGTGTTCCAGGTGAATGACCATTGACAGCGATGTGCTCCAGGTGAATGACCATTGACCATTGACAGCGATGTATCTCAGCGGTAGTGAGTGGGCGCTAGTGAGTCGGAGGAGGCGCTGATGCTGCTCACTCAGGCGGAGATGAACACGCCCATGGCGGCAGTGGTGGGGGAGAAGGATGAGGAGCAGACTGACGTGTTCCAGGTGAGACGGCTGTAAGGTAGGAGGGGTGGACGCGTCACGCGCCCATGATGAGGCGTGAGTACGCTGGGCGCTAGTGAGAGCTCGCTCAACGCATCAACTTTCTCACTCGCTTTTAAATGTAGGAGCTCACTTCCTCTCGGACTTTCCTCCTTTCTTACTCGTCAGCACCCTGTCCTCCCCACCCCTCCCCTGCTCCCCTCGCCTACCCTGCTCCCCTCGCCTACCCTGCTCCCTCCTTTCCCCTCTCCTGCCACAGGTCCACGTGTACCCCTCTGAGCTCACCACGTGTATCGTTCTGAGGGGCCACTGTGCAGCCTTTGATCGCTCCTCTGCTCTCTCTGTCGCCCGTGCCTTCCTCTCCGCCCTCGCGGCTGTGCTCGCTGGCACCGCCCCTTCCTCACCAACCTGGTACGCACCTTCTCTTCTCCTTCCACACGCCTCACCTTGCCACCTTGCCCTTGCATGCCTCTTCTCTCGCTGCCTCCTCTACTCCCTCTGTCGCCCGTGCCTTCCTCTCCGCCCTCGCTGCTGTGCTTGCTGGCACCGCCCCTTCTTCACCAGCCTGGTACGCCCCTCACTGCACAGCCTGTATGCCTGATGCCTTTTCCCTCTCTCGTTTCTCCGTCTGCTCCCTCCACTCTTTCCTTCACTCCTCTCTGCCCTTGCGGTTGTGCTCGCCTGCTCTGCCCCGGCGTCACCAGCCTGTACGCCCCTCCCCTCACTGCACAAACCAATCTGCCCTGTTCTCAACACCCCTGCTTCTACTAATCTGCTCCCCTTGCTCCCCCTCCTGCCCCCCCTGCTCCCCTGTTACCTGCTCCCGTCGGTCCCCCACTTCCCACTGCTCCCCTGCTTCCCCTTGTTTCCTCTCGTCCCCCTGCTCCCCCTCTTCCCCTTGATTTCCTTTCTCCCCTCCAGGCCCACCACAGGAGTCTCTCTCCCTCCTTCTCTCGCATAGTTCATGCCCAAGGGAGCGCAGGCGAAGGGATTTTTCACCAAGATGGTGGACGCAGTGGGGTATGCAGCTTCATCGCACTCCCACATGTTGCTACCTTCCCTCCCCCACCCCCCCAGGCCTAGCACGGGGGTGTCGCTGCCCCGTTCTCTCGCGTCCTTGATGCCCAAGGGCGCACAGGCCAAAGGATTCTTCACCAAGATGGTGGACGCGGTGGGGTATACCGCCTCCTCGCACTCCCACATGCTGCCCTTCCAGCCACCGTCACTTCTTCCCTTCTCCCCACTGCTCCCCCTGTCCCCCTCTTCCCCCCTGCCCCTCCTGGTTCCCCTGCTCCTCCCCCCTCTCTCTCCCTCCCAGGCCCAGCACGGGGGTGTCTCTCCCCCCCTCTCTCGCGTCCCTCATGCCCAAGGGCGCGCAGGCGAAGGGCTTTTTCACCAAGATGGTTGACGCCGTGGGGTATGCCGCTTCATCCAAATCCGCCATGCTGCCCTTCCAGCCTGGCTGTGCTGACTCCCGCAAGAACCACTTTCGCTCCGAGATCATCCCCATCAACCTGTCCCAGCAAGGTGGGTGGGTGGGTGGGTGGGTTGGTGGGTTGGGTGGGTGGGTGGGTGGGTGGGTGGGTTGGTGGGTTGGGTGGGTGGGTGGGTGGGTGGGTGGGTTGGAGGGTGTGTGGGTTAGGCGGGGTGGGTATGCTAGCAATCAGGTGGGGCTGTGCTGACTCCCGCAAGCACCACTTCCGCTCCGAGATCATCCCCATCCACCTCTCCCAGCAAGGTGCGTGGGTGGATGGAGGTGTGGTTAGTTGGGTGGGTGCGTGGATGGGTGGGTATGCTACCTATCAGGTGGGGTATGCGGCCTCCTCCCACTCCGCCATGCTGCCCTTCCACCCCGGCTGCGCTGACACCCGCAAGAGCCATTTTCGCTCCGAGATCATCCCCATCCATCTCCCCAAGCAAGGTGGGTGGCCGCGTCGATGGGTGGGTGGGTGGGTGCGTGGGTGGGTGAATATGTTTGCTACAAGGTGGGATATGCCCCCTCCTCGCACTCCGCCATGCTGCCCTTCATTCCTTTCATGCTTGAAGAGCACAGAGCGCCACCTAGCGTGGTGGCGCCATTCTGCCACCTTCCTACGAGGACCGGCCCCCTTTACCCTTGCCACCTTCCGCCCCAATACTAGCTAGCACAGCCTCATCAAAACTTTGCAGCCAAGGTTACAGGGTGGGGTGTACCGTAGGTTGGGTTTTGTCACAGGGGAGCTTGCTGCCTACTTGCACTCCGCCTTGCTGCCCTTCCTTCCAGCTCGCCTGCGCTGATTCATTATTCCCCTTGTCTATCCCCTCTCTTCTTAACCCGCCACCTGTGTCCATTCAGAGACCGATGCCCTCAAGGCGGCCTGTGAGGCGAGGGGCAGCTCGCTGTACGGAGTGCAGTGTGCTTCAGTGCTCAAGGCAGCTGCAGAGGAGCTGAAGCTGAAGAAGGACGAGTCGTTTGGCGTCACCAGGTGGGTACCTGGCCGTGCACCAACACAGCACCACCTCACAGCACCTCACAGCACCACCTCACAGCACCACCTCACAGCACCACCTCACAGCACCTCACAGCACTTGGCAGCACCTCACAGCACTTGGCAGCACCTCACAGCACTTGGCAGCACCTCACAGTACTGCACTTCAGAGCACAGCATCATCTGTACGGCGTGCAGTGTGCAGCTGCGCTCAAGACAGGGTGTTTTGGGTTTGCCTCTCAACCACTCCTTTCCTTTTCCCTCTACCTCCTTCTCTCCTTTCTCTGCCTCCTCTACCATCCCAACAGCCTCATTGACTGTCGTCAGTACTGCGACCCCCCTCTCCCCCCCGTGGCCATCGGGGTGTTTGACTCGGGTCTGCCCCTAAAGCACTCCTGCTCGCACGCCTCCTCCTTGTGGGGCATCGCCGGGCAGCTCACGCAGCAGGTGGCCACTGCGGTCAGCAAGGGAAAACATTTCTCGGAGCTGCCCGTGCTGGAGATGCTGTTTGGCACGGTGAGTGATATTTTGTTGTGAACAACAGCAAAAAAAACTTCCAATTGTGGTTTTTAAGCCTTGCACTGACGCAGCCCACCCGACGTAATCCTTTGGTTCCACTGCATCTTCTGCTTCTGTTTCCGTCCTCTTCCTCATGACTACCCTCGCCCCAATACCGGCCCACCACAGGTGCTCAACACGCCCTCCCTCAGCCCAGAGCACTCCCTGCGCACCTCCTTCCTCACTGCCTTCACTGATGGCCCTCTCTCTCTCGACCTCACTGCACCACACAGTAGTACCACTAACCACTGTCCTCTCTCCCACCCCCCCCCCCTCCCCTCCCTCCCTTCCCCCACCACAGGTGCTCAACACGCCCTCCCTCAGCCCAGAGCACTCCCTCCGCACCTCCTTCCTCACTTCCTTCCTGTTTCTCTCTTCTTTCCCCTGTCCCCTTGCCTTCTTTCCCCTGTCCCCTTGCCTTCTTTCCCCTGTCCCCTTGCCTTCTTTCCCCCGTCCCCTTGCCTTCTTTCCCCCGTCCCCTTGCCTTCTTTCCCCTGTCCCCTTGCCTTCTTTCCCCATGTTCGTCCTCCACACCCCCCCAACCACAGGTGCTCAACACGCCCTCCTTGAGCCCAGAGCACTCCCTGCGCACCTCCTTCCTCACTGCCTTCACCGACGGCTCTCTCCCCCTCGACCTCACCACCACACACGGCACTAGTAACGGCGCTACCAACAGCGCCACCAATGGTACCGGTGACCTGGCTCTGCTGCAGCTGGACGGGGTGATGGGGCCTCTGGTGGCGAGTCACGGCATCGGCCCCTGCATTGGCATGCCCGACTTTATCAAGGTACGAATCGCTACAGGCGGCTGTTTTTTGCTCATACCCATCACAGTGCCAGTGCCGCTGCTGGTGGGGGGGACCTGGCTCTGCTGCAGCTGGACGGGGTGATGGGGCCTCTGGTGGCCAGTCATGGCATTGGGCCCTGCATTGGCATGCCTTTTTCATCAGCTTGCGCTGCCCATGCCCTCTGGGCTCCTTTGTTTGTTTGTGCGCACCATGCATGTTGCTCGTTCTTCCCCCGTCTTCCTTGTTGGGGTGCCTAAAAGGACACCCTGTTTGTGGGTTTCTCCTCTCAAAATGTATTTGCTGGACTCACCTCCTTGTGCAGGATGGGGCGCTGCAGCTGCTGCTGGTGTACCCTACCCCGCTCTACTCCCCTGCTCAGATGGCCCAGTTTGCTGTCCTCGTTAAGAACAACCTCCTTGCAGCTGCAGTTAACCAGGATGTGTAGTGTTATTCCGCAATGGTGTACCTGATAAATAATTGTAGTGCAGTGTTTCTCAGTGGCATAGACATTCTGGTACAACAGATATAATATTCACAGTCTGTGGCAGAATGACCCGAATGTACCAAAGACCCAAATGACAGTGGCCGAATGTAATGTGCTCAAGAGCTGGTGACGAGTACAGTGCAGCGAGACAGTACACAGTTTGGCATTATACTAAATTAGCAAGTTAGCATTAGCTACTACAGAACCATGGCTACATGGTTGCGGTCTAACAGTTGAACATATATTAAGGGCCACTATGTGGAGTACAGGAGAATGCCAAACCCTCTCTGACTCTCAATCCATGGCATAGTATCACCCGTCATTAGCCTTCAGCTCTTCTGACGTATAGACGTGTTTGTATGTGGGTGTGCATAGGTGCGGGCCGGTGCGGGTAGGTGTGGGTGGGTGGAATCTGGTAAGGGGAAACAGGAAAGAGGGACAAGGGGAATAAAGTGAAGAGCTGAGCACATGAGGGAGCAATGGGGAGAGCAATGAAGCAGGGAAACGAAGGGAAAGGGAGGGTAGCAGCAACAGCACAACAACAAATCCGAGGACGGCTATATCTGAGTCACATTTATTAGAATGCTCAAGAGTGATAAGAAAAAAGCCGAGTATGGTGCTGGATGTAGCGGCGCGAGGGAAAAGATGTCGTTGCAGGAAAGAGAGAACAAGAGGCAGACTTTTATGCACATGCACATGCATATGGACATGCATATGGACATGCATATGGACATGCATATGCACATGCACATGCACATGCAGATGGACATTAACAATCGAAGACTTACCGTGCAGGCTTGGGGTGCTGCTGGCCGTCAGATCCACCAACATCAACCATGCCTTGCATGCCCCGCCTGATGCTGTCCTGCTTGCTGCCTTCCGCTGCTGTGGACTCCCAACCACTCAGCAGTACCACCATCACCCCCAGCAGTAGCATCACCTCCACCACCCTTGCCAGCAGCAGCAGCACGGTCCCCATCCGCTCCTTGCCACGCCATGCCCGCCTCTATGCGCCTCTGCATGGCGATCAACGCAGATATAGGCGTCCACCCCTCTTTGACCTCTCCACCTCTCTTTACCACACTCCGCCCTTTTCTACCCTCTCCTTTCCCCCCAGCACCACTACCGTCATCAGGGTCAGGACTGTGACTAGTGCCACCACCGCCGTTGCCACCACTGTTGCCATCGCTGCTGTCACCGCCACTCCCACCCGTGCCAGCATGGGCAGCAGCAGCGTGGGTTCCACTGCTGCTGCCACCAGTTCTGCCGTCACTCTTGCGGACCCCTGTGCCGGCATGGACTGCAGCAGCAGTGTGGGTGGCGAGTCTGCTGCTATCTGCCACTGACAGCAGCTGCTGCCACTCGTCCTCAAACCTCACGCTCCGCTGCTGTTCATGCTGCTGCTTTCCCCCTTCCTCTTCCTGTCCTTGCTCTTGCGCCTGCTGCTGCTGCTGCTGCTGCTGCTGCCTTCCCTCCTGCTCCTTATCTCCCGCTTGCTGCTGTTGCTGCTGCTGCTGTTGCTGTTCGATTTTCGTCCTCTCCCCTCCGCCACCGCCACTCCCATCATGCCCACCACCACCAGGGATACTCCGCGTTTCATGCCCTGCCTCACTACCACCACTACCGGCGCTGCTCTGCGCCTCATGCCCTGCCCCAGCACCACCACTGCTCTTCTCCTTGCGTTCTGTGTTCACCTTAAACACGTTATTCCCCCCTTCGATGCTGCCGTTCCCACCACTACTGCCACCACTTGTGCTGGTGCCACCATTGTCGCCCTTGCCGCCCTTGCCACCCTCGCTGCTTGCGTGTGAGTGCCCTCGCCCTTCATTCGCCTTCCCCTTGCCTTCCTGGGTCACCTCCATACGATAGCTGCTCTCCTGCACCCCTCCCTTGCTGCTGCTGCTGCTGCTGTCTTTGCCCTTGCCGCCCTTACCACCCTCACTGCTTGCATGTGAGTGCCCGTGCCCTTCAGTCGCCTTCCCCTTGCCCTCCTGGACCCCTTTCGTCATCTTCAGGTGATAGCTTCTCTCCTGCACCCCTCTCTGCCACTCATCGAGATCCACCACTCTCCCTCCCACATGCTCCTTCCATGCATCCTTCCCCTTCTCCTCTTCACTCTCCCTCCCGCTCCCCTCCTCACCCCCCTCCCCTGATCCTGATTTCTCCTTCGCATCATCACCCTCTGAAGTTTCCCCCGAGTCATCTGCTCCACCTGAACTTTCACCTGAATTTTCACCTGACGCCGCGGATTCCCCTGACGCCCCACCTGAAGCCTCATCCAACTCGGGCCAAAGCGCGCTCGTGTGCTCGCTAGAGTCACCGCTCTTTTCTGGCTTTTCACCTGACTCCTCCCCTGTATTCTCTTCTGAACTTTCTCCTGATTTCTCTGTTCCTGTTGCTTCTCCCCCTTCCTCCTCTCCACCCTCTTTCCCCTCTCCTCCCCCCTCTCCTCCTTCCCCTGTCTTGCCACTGCCACTGTCACTGCCACTGCCACTGCCACTGCCACTGTCACTGCCACTGCCACTGCCACTGCCACTGTCACTGCCACTGCCACTGCCACTGTGACTGCTGCTGTTACTGTTGCCGCCGCTGGTGTTGAAATTGGTGGTGCCGGTGCTGCTCTGCGCGTCAACAGTGCCAAGCCTGCCGTCACTCTTGTAACCACTCTTAAAAGTGGCACCCTCGGAATCAGCAGCATCAGCGCTGCTCCGTTTACTGCCACCACCAGTGGCACCATCAGCAGCACCACTCGCATCACCACCATCACCACGACTATCGCTGCTGCCCCTGGCAGAACCACCAAGCTTGTCAGCAACCTTAAAGTCACCATACTCACTGCTGCTGCTGCCGCTGCCGCTGCTGCTGCCGCTGCCGCTGCTGCTGCTGCTGCTGCCGCTGCCCCAGCCGCCACTGGTGGTACTGCTGAATCCGCCAGCACCGTTATAACGGCCTCTAGCCTCAACGTTAGCAGTAGACCCTCCTTTACCATCCCCACTACTGCCGCGAGAACCACCACTGCCGCCGCTGCTGCTGCTGCTGCTGCCGTATCCGCACATTCCCAGCTGGCACGCCGCGTCAGCAGGACACGTGTTGTAGCAGCCGCCGCAGTGACGTGGATCGTCCATGGTGCTGACGCACGCGCCGTCGCAGCACTGGTGGCCTGTCGGACACGCCGTGAGGCAGTTGCCGCAGTGAAACACGTCGCTGCGCAGGTTGCGGCACGCACGCCTGGGGAGGGGGGAAGGAGCGAAAGGGGAAGAAGGACAAGGGAGAGAAAGGGGGAAGGGGAGAGGGAAGGACACGCCGTGAGGCAGTTGCTGCAGTGAAACACGTCGCTGCGCAGGTTGCGGCACGCGCGCCTGGTGGGGGGAAAAACGAGAAGGAGGGGGAAAAGAGGGAAGGAGGGAGAGGACAGAAGGACACGCCGTGAGGCAGTTGTCGCAGTGAAACACGTCGCTGCAGCGATTGCTACACGCGCGCCTGAAGAGACTTTTGAGACGTCTCGAAAGTTGTCGCAGTGAAACACGTCGATGCAGCGATTGCTACACGCGCGCCTGAAGAGACTTTTGAGACGTCTCGAAAGTTGTCGCAGTGAAACACGTCGATGCAGAGATTGCGACACGCGCGCCTGAAGCAACGGCAGGCGGAAAAGGGAGGGATGGGGGAAGAAGTGGAGGGAGAAGGAGGAAAGGGAAAAAGAGAGAAGGGTGAACGGCGGACACGCAGTGAGGCAGTCGCTGCAGAGATTGCAGGCGCGATTGATGCAACGGGAGGGAGGTGGGGGGAGGGGAGGGAAATGAGGGAGAGGAGGGAAATGAGGGAGAGGAGGGAGGGGAGAGGGGGAAGGGAGAGGGGGGGTGTCTTACCCGCAGCAGACGTCGAAACCGGGGTTCTCCTTAGCGAAGATGAGACAAACGGTCTGGTTACCCAAGCACTTCTGCCCGCGCTTTAAATGATGCCCCACTCCCGACGGATGATGCCCGAACAAATACGTCCCATCCGCCTTCCGCGGATGGTGCCCTCCGCCAAACGGCGCGCGCCCGCCCGCGCTGGCGGCGCCCGCCGCCGCATGGCGGCCGCCGTCGAACCAGTGGTGGCCTACGGAGGCGGTGTGGTGGCCGAGGCGCGGGTGGTGCCCTGTGAACGGCCCGTGCATTCCCTTGGGAATGTCGAAAACCTTGGGAATGCCGAAACCCTGCGGCTCGCTGGTGGTGGTGTCGGCTCCTGGGTCGATCTCCGCCGTTGATCTGGTGGTTGTGGTGATCCGATGGTGGTGGCCTAGGTTCGGATGGCCGCCCTGTTTCTTGGAAGGTTCGGCGTCGGTTTGTGCAGCCGTTCGGCGGCTGAAGAGGGCGCGGCGGAGGGACGAGACGGCGGAGGAAACGGCGGAGGTTGCGGCGGAAGATGCGGCGAGAAAGGAGGGCAGCGGGAAACGGCCGATCCCCCTGTTGGCACCACCGGGATTCGCGAAGCGCGAAACTTTTGAGGAATAAAAGGACGAGGAGGAGGAGGAGGTAGAAGCGAAGGGCAGTTTGTTGGTCGATCGTATTCGAATCTTAAAGAGCTTCGGCCTTCCTCTGCTGCCACGTGGCCGCGGAATATCCGGGAGGAGGTCATCTGACGTGGCTAAGGAGTAGGAGGGTAGGAGAAATAGGATGCAAATACACGATAGTATTAGCGCCGCGACCAAGCTTCGAAGCGACTTCATGTCTGCGCGATTTGATTGAATCGACGGTATCCAGTTTGAGCGCCGTCTATTTTAAAATTGAGTTGGAACGGCTTTCTCCGCGGTCGCGTCGCAAAGGCATACCGGCTAAAGCCTAGGTTCGATCGCTAATAGTCACATGACGTCCCATAGCTGTAAGCGAAGCAAGTCTTAGGGCGGTAGCCACTCTTGAGAATTCTCAAAAGTGATTTCAACACTCTGGCTAGTGAAGACTCGCAGTCAGCCCGTTCGCGCGGTATTCGCTCTGGCTCAAGTTAAGAGAGCACGCCGGGCAGTAAGCAGATCTTCTTGCTCGCTATCTGACCTGCACCAGGCCGTGTAGAACTATGCTCCTGGTGGCCATAAGCAGTCTCAGAAGCTTCTGCTAAGCGCACTGCTCTCACTCAGCGGTGTGGCGTCGCCGCGAAGAGATGAACTACTACAAGGCGATTATTCCCGAGGCGTCACTGTACAAGCGGCGAGTGATAACCTATGGTGACAGCTAGAGTATTCTAAAGCGCTAAGGCTTACGGCAAGTATTGCCCTGTGTTGACCATTGGAGGAGTGCAGTGGGTTTGGGCAATGGTGCTAGTGGCGTGGGTGGGATAGACGGGGCGTGTGGCGTGGTGTGCTGCGCTGCGATGCAACGACTACATCGAATCGTGCGCTGCGTGCTGGGTGCTGTCGTTTACTCGGCAGCAATCAACTGTCTGACTGGGTGAGATTCGCTCGACCTGCGCAAATCGTGGAAGCATTGAGGCAAACTTGGGCGCGAATAAAGAAAACTACTGAACGGTGATGACAAAGAAGCGGGAAAGCAGATCGGGAGAAACACATGGTTAGGTGGTTTAGGGTGGTAAAGTACGGTAAGAGGATAAACTGTAGTGGCCGATCGGAGTTGGTGGGAAGGAGGGGAACGTTTGAGATGATGCGGGCGAATTTTCAAACTCGTCATTTGTTCGGTGAAAGAAATCCCACTCCCAACGTCTGTTGACAAATGTGCAATTTGAGACATTTTGCGCGAAATGCGACTCGACATTTTGCGTAATCACGACGCGATTCAGTCGCGGCTTGAAAGCTCGTGCTGAGGTGGCCTACATTCTGACCGTCGATGCACTGTACCCGTTGGGATGTGAAGTACACGTGGCACAACTTCTTAAGGGCTGATGCCCACGAACAGCGACGGCTGAGCGGCAAGGAGACGGTTGCCGACTACAGGATGGAGAGTTGTCGCAGCTTTGGGTTTTCGTGATTTGATTGCTGACAAGGAGCATGTGCGAAATAAATCGACATTGGTGACTGACAGTCACATCGTCGCAGCCAACCATCTTCAGCGCAGGCAAGCGACCAGCGGCAACACTGGTGACGAAGTGATTTCGCATTCCAGCGTTTCAGAAATGGCCTTTTGCATGTCTCTTCTCCGTGAATCAAACTGGTTTCTCTAAAGGCATACAGCGTAAAAGCAGTATAACTGGGAAAGACACTGCTTTTAACGCGGATGCAGCGATATGTTTTCTCACCATAGAAGATGCAAAGCTGGAGTCCTTAGCTAAGGGACCAGCACTGGTTCTAGTCCTAGGTCCCAGGAGAAACTAAGAAGCAAGGCGCATTCGTTAGTTATCCTGGTCAAGCGCCGGGCGAGCCGAAATGCTAGGTCTTGCTGCTACCGGCGTGTCGTCGTCGCTTCCTCCGGGAATATCGTCTCGTCATAAATCTGACGTGTCATGCGGATCTCCGCTTCAGTCTGACGTGTCGAAAGCATCATCATCCGTTTCACCGAGCGTTACCCTTTCTGGCGATACGATCAGCGATGGACGCATCGTAGGGTTACCATTTCGCTCCGACCGGCTGCGAACCTCGACAACCTCGTGTCGCGCTTGGACTAGTTCGCAAAACGAGTTTTCGGCAAAGGGCTTGCAGACACCGTCAACGTCGCAAAGACGAAAATCTTCTACGCATTCCCGACGCGACGGAAAACGCAATGCAGTAACGGTAGCGGCTGCTGCTGCTGGGGCCGGATCATCCGACGATTCAGACGAGCCCGTTTTCATTTTCACTAACCCGCGACAGTCGCCAGACGTCGCGAAGGTGCTGCGCCACGATTCGCGCGCCTCCGCCGCCGCCGCCGCCGCTTCCGCTGCTGCTGCCGCCGCCGTCGCTGCCGCAGCAGCAGATGATGTAGCAACCGCTACGCAGGACGCTTTAGAAGCTGGGGCGTCCTCCGCGATTGGCGCCGGGAGCGGCGCGTCCGAGGGGAAACGATCAAGCGCGCAGACGAGCGCGCAAGCCGCGGCAGTGGATCAGCTACTAACGGGGCCGCCCAGGCGAATAGTACCTATAGTGCCGGACGACCATAAGAGCGGTAGGCAGGGGGAAAGGCAAGGGGAGAGACACGGACGGGGTAATGGGGTTGAGGGGGAATGTTGGGGAATGTAGGGGAATGTAGGGGAATGTAGGGGAGGGGAATGTAGGGGAGGGGAAGGGGCGATTTAGTGCCCCAAATGCCGGACGACCATCAAAATTATGACGAGCCGCAGTGTTGGCAATGTGCTGTTGGGACGGCTTGAAGGGGTTTTTGTGTGCGGGTTTAGGACTGAGGGTTTGAGACGTAGTGTGTGATGTGAAGCTACGCTAATCGGTGAACGCACATATTCATGCATCATCTTCCTCCTCCTCCTCCTCCTCCTCCTCCTCCTCCTCCTCCTCCTCCTCCTCCTCCTCCTCCTCCTCCTCCTCCTCCTCCTCCTCCTCCTCCTCCCCCTCCTCCCCCTCCTCCTCCTCCTTTCGCTGCCCCCTTGTTCTCCCACCGTGCCCCTTCCCTCCTCACCTCTCCTCACCTCCCCTCACCTGTCATCACCTCTCAACACCGCTCCTCACCCCCTCAGGCTACGTGGCGCTGATAGGCCAGCCCAACGCGGGGAAGAGCACGCTGCTGAACCGCCTCATCGGGCAGAAGCTGTCGATCGTCACTCAGAAGCCGCAGACCACCCGCCACCGCATCCTGGGGCTCGTCTCTGCGCCTGCGTACCAGGTGCGTGATGGGATGGGCGGGAGGTGTTCGGTAACGCGTACCGGATGATTGGGCGGGGGATGGGAGCACACACACACAAGCTGCAGAAGCCGCAGACCACCCGCCACCGCATCCTGGGACTCGTCTCCGCACCCGCCTACCAGGTGCGTGGGGGAGGGGCTGTGGCCTTTCTAAGCGTGGGGTTGTGGCAGCACACACATGGAAGCTGCAGATTCATTCTGTACAACAGCACGCCTTTTGAGGCGTATTTTGAGGCGCCTCAAATCTTGGGGTGCTCTCCAAGCCACAGCACTAGCCGGACCTCCTCATCATTTTTGAGGCGCCTCAAAAATCGCCTAAGTACTATTCCGGATTTGCAGCTATTCCGATATGTGTTTGGAGGCGCCTCAGAACTTGGGGTGCGCTCCAAGCCACAGCACTAGCCGGACCTCCTGATCATACAGCACACACACATGGAAGCCGCAGATCATTCTGTACAGGACGCCTTTTGAGGCGCCTCAAATCTTGGGGTGCTCTTGCTCTCCAAGCCGACTTTTGAGTCGACTCAGAAGTCATCTTGGGGTGCTCTTGCTCTCCAAGCCACAGCACAGCACAGCACTAGCCGGACCTCCTGATCATGCAGGCTGTGCCGCTGCCTTGTGTCCCTCGCTCGCTCCCCTTCATTGCATTCGAATCTCTCAAACGAAGGAAACGGATAGAAAGCTGCAAGCTCAGTTCGACCGACCTAACTAATCTCCCTGCTTCGCTCCTTCCTCCTCCCTCCGTTGCTCGCAGATCGTGCTGTACGACATGCCTGGCGTGCTCTCCAAGTCAATGCACAAGCTGGACGAGCTCATGATGCAGGATTTTTGAGGCGCCTAAAAAATTGTCCCTCCCTCCCTTGTGTCCCCTTCATTGTCATCTCGCCACTGCAGATCATTCTGTATGACACGCCCGGGGTTCTCTCCAAGTCAATGCACAAGCTCGATGAGCTCATGATGCAGAAGCCATCACACCGTGTGCCCTCCCCTCCCACCCCACCCCTGCTGCTTTCCGTCTCTCCCTCGTCCTCCCTCTCCTCCTTCTGCAGATCATTCTGTACGACACGCCTGGCATGCTCTCCAAGTCGATGCACAAGCTCGATGAGCTTTTCTGAGCTGAGACGTCTCAAAAACACCCTTTTTTCGCAGGGCGTGCCCCCCAAGGCAATGCACCAACTGGATGAACGAACTCATGATGCAGGCAGTGCACAAGCTGGACGAGCTCATGATGCAGGCAGTGCCCCTCCCTTGTGTCCGTGCTTGCTTCCCCCTCCCCCCTTCCCCTTTCAGATCATTCTGTACGACACGCCCGGGGTGCTCTCCAAGTCAATGCACAAGCTGGACTAGCTCATGATACAGGCAGTGCCTCCCCGCCTCCCCCTTGTTCTGTGCCCCTCCCTCCTTCCCTTGTGTCTGTGCTTGCTTCCCCCTCTCCCCTTCCCTTTCAGATCATTCTGTACGACACGCCTGGGGTGCTCTCCAAGTCAATGCACAAGCTGGACGACCTCATGATGCAGGCAGTGCGCACTGCTACAGTCAACGCCGACGCGGTTGTCCTCGTTATAGACATCACCCAGGCGCCTCAAGAGGTCCGCTGCGATCTCTTCTCAAATGTTTCTAGAATCTGACTTTCCTTTGCTGATGTGTTGTTGTATGGAGGATGTTAACGGGCCCTCAAATGTTTGACTTATGAGGGCATGCTCGCTACCTTTGCCTGCCCCTGATGCAGGTATCGAAGCTGCTACTAGAGGGGATGGAGAGTGCAGTGGTGCAGAAGAAGCCGACTCTCATCGTGCTGAACAAGAAGGACTCTCTCAAGCCGGGGGAAGTTGCCAAGAAGCTCAAGGTAAGGAAGTTAGTACCCGTACCAGCCAGTACCAGTCAATACCAGTCAGCATCCGTCATAACCAGTCAGCATCCGTCATAACCAGTCAGCATCCGTCATAACCAGTCAGCATCCGTCCAATGCACCCATGCCGACTTCTCTTCCCTCCTACTGTGTGCTCCCCTCTGTGTAACAACAGTGGTGCCAAGCCAAGAGGCAGTGGCAGCAGATGGCCACACTGTGATTGCTCTGAGTGTGTCACTGGAACCAAGAGACTGAGGCGCCACACAAGTGATTCTGCCGCCAATGCCTGTGCTTGCCCCTTCTCCCCTTCTCTCCTCTCTCTGTGTATCCACACCACAGTGGTGCCAAGTGGCAGTGGCAGCGGACGGCCACACAGGGATCGTTATTGTCACAAGTGCCCTTTTCCCTCTTTGTTTCCCTCTTGCCAGTGTGACTGCAGTGGTATCAAGCGGCAGTGGCAGCGGATGGGCACACGGTGATCGCGCTGAGCGCCAAGGGGATCGCTCTCTAAGTGCCCACCCCTCCTCTCCCGCCCTGTGTGCTCACATCCCTCCCTCCAGTGGTACCAAGACGCCGTAGCAGCGGACGGCCACACCGTGATTGCGCTGAGTGCCAAGAGGGGCGACGGGGTGGGTGGATGGGCTGCTGGCGTGGATGCTGGGGCACATGTGTGTGCCTTGCTTTTCCACCATTCCTCTCCTCTCCTCTCCCTCTTTGTGTGTCTGCGCGTGACCGCAGTGGTACCAAGACGCCGTAGCAGCGGATGGGCACACGGTGATTGCTCTGAGCGCCAAGAGGGGCGACGGACGGGGTGGATGGGCTGCTGTGCTGGCACACGGTGATCACCACCTCAAGTGCCCCACCCCTCTCACGCCCCGTGTGCTCCCTCCATCCCATGGTGGTATCAAGATGCAGTGGCAGCAAATGGGCACACAGTGATTTCACTGAGTGTCTGCCTTGGCTCGGAAGCTAGTCTGTGAACCAAACGCATGCCCTGCCTTTCCACCATTCCTCTTGTCTCCTCTCCCTCTCCCCCTCTGTGACTGCAGTGGTACCAAGATGCAGTGGCAGCGGATGGGCACTCGGTGATTGCGCTGAGCGCCAAGAGGGGCGACGGGGTGGATGGGCTGCTGGCATGGATGCTGGACAACATTCCACAAGGCCCCGCTTACTACCCCAAGGTATCACTGCACTGCCTGCCTTGCACAAGTCGTTCCCTAGCATTGTTTCAGAAAGCAGTAGGATTGGGGAGAAGAGTGGATGGGATTGGGGAGAAGAGTGGATGGGATTGGGGAGAAGAGTGGATGGGATTGGGGAGAAGAGTGGATGGGATTGGGGAGAAGAGTGGATGGGATTGGGGAGAAGAGTGGATGGGCTGCTGGCATGGATGCTGGACAAACATTCCCCAAGGCCCCGCTTACTACCCCAAGGTGACCAGAGAACTGCCCTTCTAGGTTTCTAGATGATTTCGGCTTGGTACTGCAAAGCAAGGGCAACCTTCGGTTTTAAGCCCCCTACAGTTTTAAGGCCCCTGCAGTTTTAAGGCCCCTACGGTTTTAAGCCCCCTACAGTTTTAAGGCCCCTACGGTTTTAAGGCCATCCCACACCGCACCTCACCACACACGGCACACGCCTCCTCTCCCTCCAGCACGTGGTGCGCAAGCGAGCTGCCAGAGCAGTTCTTTGCAGCACTTCAGAATGCGCACTATACTCGCACCATCCCATGCCATGCTGCACCCAGCCTTACACCTTCCCCTCCACACCATCCCACACCGCACCCCACCACACACGGCACACGCATCCTCTCCCCCAGCACGCACGTGGTGGGCGAGCTGCCAGAGCAGTTCTTTGGGGCGCTTTAAGATACCACAGCACCACAGCCACACCATGTGCAGCGAGGCTGTTTTTGAGACGTCTCAACAACAACCTCGCTGCACATGGCTATTCTTTGGGGCGCTTTAAGATACCACAGCACCACAGCCACACCATCCATGCCATGCCACCCTACACCCCTCCCACCCCACCCCACCCCACCCCACCCTTCCCAGGACGTGGTGAGCGAGCTGCCAGAGCGGTTCTTTGTGGCTGAGATAGTGAGGGAGAAAATTCTGCTGCAGTACTCGCAGGAAGTGCCGTACGCCTCCCAGGTATGTGTGTGCATATGATACGTGCATGGGGCGTGACGTGACGGTCTTGCGGCATGGGGAATGGGTCCGTCAGGGCATGGGGGTCAGGGCATGGGGGTCAGGGCATGGGGGTCAGGGCATGGGGGTCAGGGCATGGGGTCAGGGCATGGGGGTCAGGGCATGGGGGTCAGGGCATGGTGGTCAGGGCATGGGGGTCAGGGCATGGGGGTCAGGGCATGGGGGTCAGGGCATGGGGGTCAGGGCATGGGGGTCAGGGCATGGGGGTCAGGGTCAGGGCATGGGGGTCAGGGCATGGGGGTCAGGGCATGGGGGTCAGGGCATGGGGGTCAGGGCATGGGGGTCAGGGCATGGGGGTCAGGGCATGGGGGTCAGGGCATGGGGGTCAGGGCATGGGGGTCAGGGCATGGGGGTCAGGGCATGGGGGTCAGGGCATGGGGGTCAGGGCATGGGGGTCAGGGCATGGGGGTCAGGGCATGGGGGTCAGGGCATGGGGGTCAGGGCATGGGGGTCAGGGCATGGGGGTCAGGGCATGGGGGTCAGGGCATGGGGGTCAGGGCATGGTAGCACATGGGTCGTAAGGGAGTTGACTGTGCAGCAACACTCACAGGAGGGAGGTGCTGTATGCCTGCCAGGTGCGGTGCGGTGAGAGGGGCTTGGCTGGCTGGTTGGGGATGCTGGGGGGGATTCTTAGTGGGCTTGGGGCATGGGGCATGTGGCATGGGAAGTGCTGATTGGCGCATGGGTGAGGGAGGGAGGAGATTCTGCTGCTGTACTTGCACGAAATTCCGTATGGGGAATGGGGAATGTGGTGTGGGGCATGGGGAATGGGGAATGGTGAGACATTCTCTTTTTTTCAGTGATGAAACATTGTTGTGGAATGACATGGCAATGATGGCATGGCACTTATGACTTGGCACGTCTGGCACGGCACGACACTGCTGATGACATGTCCCTTTTGAGTTTTGAGTTGACTCAAAACTTGGCTCTGGCACGGCACTGATGCTGATATGTCCCTATTGCCATGGCACTGGTGCTGATATGTCCCTATTGCCATGGCACTGGTGCTGATATGTCCCTATTGCCATGGCACTGGTGCTGATATGTCCCTATTGCCATGGCACTGGGGCTGATATGTCCCTATTGCCATGGCACTGGTGCTGATATGTCCCTATTGCCATGGCACTGGTGCTGATATGTCCCTATTGCCATGTCACTGGTGCTGATATGTCCCTATTGCCATGGCACTGGTGCTGATATGTCCCTATTGCCATGGCACTGGTGCTGATATGTCCCTATTGCCATGGCACTGGTGCTGATATGTCCCTATTGCCATGGCACTGGTGCTGATATGTCCCTATTGGCATGGCACTGGTGCTGATATGTCCCTATTGCCATGGCACTGGTGCTGATATGTCCCTATTGCCATGGCACTGGTGCTGATATGTCCCTATTGCCATGGCACTGGTGCTGATATGTCCCTATTGCCATGGCACTGGTGCTGATATGTCCCTATTGGCATGGCACTGGTGCTGATATGTCCCTATTGCCATGGCACTGGTGCTGATATGTCCCTATTGCCATGGCACTGGTGCTGATATGTCCCTAATGCCATGGCACTGGTGCTGATATGTCCCTATTGCCATGGCACTGGTGCTGATATGTCCCTATTGCCATGGCAGGTGACAGTGAGAGCGTTCAGGGAGAGGGAGAAGGCCAAGGACTACATCAGCCTTGACATCATGGTTGAGCGGGACAGCCAGAAGGCCATCCTGCTGGGGAAGGTGCGCTGAGGGTGGGTGGTTGGCGTGAGGAGTAGAGGTGTGGGGGTGAGGGGTACTTGCATTTTTGTTAAAGGAAGGGGGAGAGGGAGGGAGGGAGGCGCGAAGGACTACATCAGATCAGCCTTGACATCATGGTTGAGCGGGACAGCCAGAAGGCCATCCTGCTGGGGAAGGTGCGCTGAGAAGGGTGAGTGATAGTTAGAAGGCGATTCCTCTGGGAAAGGTGCAGGAGTGAGGAAGTGAGGGAGTGAGTGAGGGAGTGAGGGAATGAGGGAGTGAGGGAGCGAGGGAGTTAGGGAATGGGGGAATGAGGGAGTGAGGGATTGAGGAAGCGGGGAAGTGAGGAAGAAGGAAAAGAGGGACTACTGTAAGATGAGCATCACCATGGCTGGGAGGGAGAGGGAATACCAGAAGCCCATTTGGCCGAGGGTTACTTAGAGATGAGCCCACTTGGAAGCCCATTTTACAAGCTCAAAACCCCTTGCACCTAGAGATTACCTAAACTTGGCCCCATCACATCCTTCCCTCACTTCCCCTCTTCTGCCACCATCCCTCCCCCCCCCATCTCTCCCTACCCTGTCCCTCCTCCCCCCACCCCTTCCTCCCCCATCCACCCATCCACCATCTCTCTTTTGAATGCGAGCGCCTCAGGAGGGCAAGCAGCTGAAGGCACTGGCAACGGCATCTCGGATGGACATTGAGGAGTTTCTGGGGCGAGAGGTGTTCCTAGAGGTGAGGCGTGGTGCTTTGGCAGGGTGGAGATGGGTGGAGTTGGGTGGTAGTGGAGATTGGCTGTCAGGGTACTTGCGCTAAGCTCGGACGGACATTGAGGAGTTTTGGGGGCGAGAAGTGTTCCTGGAGGTGAGAAAGAGGAGGCAGTGCCTCCATCCGGAGGTGAGAAAGAGGAGGCAGTGCTTTCGGTGAGTTTGGAGATGCCTCGAAAGCCATGAAGCAGGTGCTAGGTGCTTTACATCCAAAACACTAATTCCTGGGGTGAAGAGGTGCAGTGGTGAGCCATCCCTTGCCCCATCCCCACCTCTGTCCCTTTCACCTCTGTCCCTTTCACCACTGTCCCTTTCACCTCTGTCCCTTTCACCTCTGTCCCTTTCACCTCTGTCCCTTTCACCTCTGTCCCTTTCGCCTCTGTCCCTTTCACCTCTGTCCCTTTCGCCTCTGTCCCTTTCGCCTCTGTCCCTTTCGCCTCTGTCCCTTTCGCCTCTGTCCCTTACGCCTCTGTCCCTTGCTCCCTTCTCCCCGCCATCTTTACCATGCTTTCTCCGCGCTTCTCCCCGTCTTTGCTCCACCTCCCTATTTCTCAGATCCGAGTGAAGGTGAAGGAGAAGTGGAGGCAGGACGAGACGCTGTTGAAGGAGTATGGACTGGACGTGCGCAAGAGAGGCTCCTGGTACTGACTGCCGCTCGAGGGATGTAGACTAAAAACTGAGAAATGTGATATGTTCAGTGCGTTTTTTTTTTCTGTGGTGCTTCTGCTACCGTATTACCCCGAACATACCACCCTAGGGTGCTATGATAACTACACAAAAAAAGGGGGGGGGGGGGTCTTGTCATCGGAAAAAGCTACATTGCACCCGGGTCGTTACATAATGTATTTTTTTTTAGAGCACAAAAGGTTGAGAACAAAATGTACATGTTTGACGCGGTGGTAGATTGTTGGTTGGGTGCGCAAAACCGAGGACTGGGCGATAACGTTAGTCTCGTGGGTTAGCTGCCACATTGCAAGCTCCAACAAGGCCCACAGTCAGGCCCTGATTGGAAAGAAAACACACCCCCTCGTCGCTCGACGAGGATTCATGCAGTCACAAAGGCGGAGCGCCCGCAACAGCCTCGGCTGCCTCGCTGAGGCGGTCACGTCCTTGTACTGAGAAGGAGTTCATCCTTCTTTCTGTGCAGCGGCTCCATTCCACGAATTCGAGCAATGCTCGGCAGAGTGTGCTAACACCAACTGCCTCCTCGATCCCTTTCCTAGCATAAATTCAGGGATTCCATGGCCTGTGACACCAACGTTCACTAGGCTTAGATGGCTACCTCTCCAGACTCCACTAGCACAGTGGTTAAGCGGCAGCGGCCTTCCGTCACCCAGTCACCCGCTGCTGCGGGCACACGGCGTTCGCCCCGGCCCGTCCTGCTGCAGCCGTCACCCCCCGTGAGTCGCGCCACCAACGATGAACCGAGCAGCAGCGCGACCCGTCCTATGCCGGCGCTGCCGAAGGTGAAGATTCCTTCCTTCCCGGAACAAACACGCCCCCAGGGACCTCCGAAGCGCAACGCGGATGCCGACGCTCCTTCCCCACGTCATCGCATGACGAAACGGGTTCGTCATGCGTACACCGCCAAGGAGAAGCTCCACTGGCTGAAACTGCAGGAATCGCAGCCGGACCTGTCAAATCGAGCTTTGGCCAAGCTGGCGAAGGTGCAGCCCTACTAGATCCGCGAGTGGAAGCGGATGAAGGAGCGTCTGGAGGTCGCCTCTGGATGCCGCCGTCGCCTCATGGGAGCTGGGCGCCGCGCGAAGTACCCGTTCATGGAACGAGCCGTGTATCGGCAGTTTCTTAAGCACCGCGCTAAGGGACTCGCCGTATCGGTCAGCATGCTGCAGCAGTGGAGCGCCAAGTTCATGAAGCATCGGATGCCTGGCGTGATTTGGCGCGCTTCACAGCGCTGGACTAATCGTTTCCGCGCTCGCTGGCACCTGGCTCGACGGGTGAAAACGAAGATGGGCCAGAAGTTAGTTGCGGGTAAGTTGTCCTTGAATGGATGCATCTCTATTTGAGCTGTGCTAGCTCTTAATGTTTTCTCTGTGTTTTGTTGTGCGTGCAGATTGCAAGGCTAAGGTTGAATCCTTCTGGGAGTTCCTGATGCGGATGCGCACCTTCCACGACTACCCGCTCGACCTGATCGTGAACGCGGATCAGACTCCTCTGTTTTTGGAGATGCCGGCCGAGCGTACAATCGAAACGAAGGGAGCGCGGACGGTCCACGTGCGCACTGCCGGCTACGAGAAGGAACGCGTCACTGTCATGCTGGCAGTGACGGTGGGAGGGCTGAAGCTTCCTCCATATGTCATTTTCAAACGCAAAACCATCCCCAAAGTGCTCATCCCAGCTGGTAAGTATCCAGCTATTTCAATCTTCACTCTAGCTGTTGTATCCATTACTCCCTCTAACCACTCGCTCTCTTTGCGTTGTGAACGGCAGGTGTGGTCGTCCGTGCACAAGAGAAGGGGTGGATGGACGAAGGCCTTGTGCAAGACTGGATAACCCAGGTACTTGTGCTGTTTGTGAAGCCCATCCGCGAAAGAGCCGGACGCCGCAGGGAGGCCTTGGTCGTCCTGGACTCCTACCGCGGCCATTTGACCGAAGCCGTCGGTCAAACCATGCGAATGTTCCGTCTGACGCGGGCGGTCATCCCGGGGGGGTGCACCCCGCTTCTGCAGCCGCTAGACGTGTCCGTGAATCGCGCGTTCAAGGCCGGTACGCGTCACCGCTATGGCACTTGGTTTGAAGACATCGGGATCAACACGAGGACGCGTGCAGGTGAGATGGTCCCTTGCTTTCCGATCGTGTTGTTGTGCATGCGTGCCTGTGTATTTCATCAAACAACTCGGTGGGTGCCTTGCCCATCCCTCAGGCAATCTGCAAAAGCCTCCCGAAGTGGATCGATGAGTCCTGGCAGGAGGTCCCAGAGGAGCTGATCAGGAAGTCCTTTCTCACCTGCGGGATTTCCACCAAGCTCGACGGCAGCGAAGACCACCTCGTCCTCGCACACCTGCGGGACAAGGGTGAGGTGGAAGTGCTGGAGGATGTGAACGAGATGGTTGAAGACGAGGTCATCCCCAACCCCTACTTCGAGGAGGCCCGAGTGCCGGCCGAGGTGCTGCAGGCGGTCGACGACGCCATGCATGTGGAGCAGGACGAAGAGGATGCGGATGCGGAAGACGGAGATGGGGAAGGGTACGGGGCTGGAGAAGATGGGGATGCAGATGAGTGGAGCGAGGCCGGCTCTGACTGGTGGCTCCCCGACCGCTTTGACGGAGAGGAGGTTGAGGAATGGAATGCTGGGGACGAGGAGTAGGAGGAAGGGCTTCTTCTGTGTAGGTAGATAGCATTCTGTCTGGATGGTAGTAGGCCCCATCTGAATGAAGGAAAGATTGTGTGATGGGAGTGATATCGCTGTATAGCGTCAGACGTAGCTTGTTTGTGCTGATGTTAACATGTAGATGGTTAATCATTGGAAAACCAGTGCTATTTAGGCAAAAACTGCAATATTACCCGTACATAACCCCCCCCCCGGGTGCTATACCGGATCGCCCCAAAAGGGGGGTATAGTAGAAATGAGGCCCGCTATAGCACCCCCCCCCGCACAAGCCACCCGGGGGGTGCTCTATTTCGGCGGGTGGTATGTCCGGGGTAATACGGTACTTGATGGCGAATGGTGGCAAAAATTGTAGTTTATTTGATGGTAGCCCTTGCATAGTAATGTTTATTTGGCTCATACAATAAAGGCCTTTCAGGGTGAGGTGGTCAAGTCCAAATTTAGATAGGCTGGAAAATTCTTGGTGGGATGGTAACTCAAGGGTGAGATGGAAACTTTTCAGCGGGCAGCTAGCCGTCAGTTTGACCTGTCAGTCATTCAACAGAGACGTTCAGAGGATTTTCTTGGAGGCCCCAGTTGTCAGTGTGTGCAGGCAATACTGCCTCTCCCTCGAGCGGCGGCAACACCCCAATACCACCCTTAGTTCTTGGTCTAACCATCTGGTCATGGTCCCATTCCCCTGCTTCTCTCTTGTCGACACCTGCTGCTGCTTCCAGAGAGAATACCTGATCACTGTCCTCGTATTGCTCTGCAACCGGCCTGCCATGGCCCTGCGTGCCTGCTCTACTCATCCCTCTCTCATCAACGCCTGGTGCTGTCAGCATGGACACCTGACCACCACCACCTCCCTGCTGAAATTCATCAAAGTCCTCTCCCTCCCCTCCAGCACCAGCACCACTAGCCGAAACACCATGCATGGTGTGATAATCCTGCTCATGCTCCCTCGTGCTGTCTTGCCGGTACCGGTAATCCTGCAACAATGCAGCAGCTTCCTCCCTCCTGTCATCTTCATCGTCCCTCGTGCTGCCAATGCCACCCAGGCTGACGTCACCTGTGTTTTCCATGCTGATGTCATCTGTTCTCCTGCTGACGTCCTCATAGTCCCAATCCCAATCCCCATCTTTTCCAGGCCTGACACCTTTTCTTTCCCCGTAACTCATCTCAGTTTCTATTGCATCCAGTGCAACATCGTTCGTGGAATCTCCATCCTCGTTATAATCTCCATAACGACCCGCTTGTGCACCAGATGCTTGAACTGAAGCTTCTCTGCCATGCATTTTCTGTCCTTTCATGCTTCCTGGTCTGGCAGTAGGTGCTCTCCATTCTATAAGCTCAGACAAATCCTCCGTCTCCTCTTCTTCAGCCATTTCATCTGACGTTGCCATTTCATCCAACGTCGGAACTTCATCCAACGTTTCTCCTGAAACATAGACTAATTCTCGAATAAATTCTTCACGAGGGAAAAACCGAATACCACTCAAGGCATCATCCTGATTCTTACCTCCTGCTAATTCAGAAACGGTTTCGTCGCCGAAGAAGCTGTCCTGGTAATGCGTCAACGCGGCGCTACGACGTCCATTCACGTCATACAGGAAACGATCCTGCCGTTCTCGGCTTGAAACGACACTATCCGCTGGACGAAGCGGAATAATCGTTTCCCATTCTATTTCTCCAGGAGTATCATCCGACTCATCCATGTCCTCGGTCTTCGTTAACGTCACGTCAAAATCCATTAGAGTACGATCAACAAGCTCTAACGGATCCAACGGCTCAGAATCCTTCAAGAGTTTCCCTTCACCAGGAGTTTTACCGACAAGCGCTCTCCTACCGTGCCTCCAAGTTGTAGCTCCGACGCCCAGACTCTCCCATTCCTCTGGTTCATCCGTAAAATATTGAACATTTGCGGAACCTTTACGGTGAACAAGGTGGAGATAGCGAGCGGTTGTAGCAGTGGCTAAGAGAGTCGTAATAAGCAGGGCAATACTGAGAGGACTGGCCATTTACAATGATAATAGAGCAAGAACAAAGCAGCAGATTAAATACGACCACCTTGGCGCTTTGGCCGTCTGCCATGGCTGCTAACAGGTTCTAAGCAAAAATTGCTGATCCCCTGGTATTGACATGGTGGCCCTCAAATGAGGTTGGCGAAGAAGCGCAAAACTGGAGATTTGGAGCTGGCGGATCGCGAAGCTACCACACCAGACGAGCAAATCGCAGACGTCGTAGGAGGGGCACCGTTGGGGGCCAAAGGCAGTCAGCGAATAGAGTTGTGGGTTTGCTAGGTCGGCGACAGTAACTCAAGTTCGCTAAAAGGTGCTGGTGTCGGTTTTCTCGCTTACAAATGATTCGTTTGGAGCGAACTATGCTGATAACGAGTGACTGCAAATCTCCAGTTTGAAGTAGTAGTACGGTCTCGCTTACAAATGATTCGTTTCCGTCAGCACATCTATTGTGAAAGGTAGACCGTACTACTACTTCAAATCCTCACGACAAATGATGTTCCCTAATGAACCTCACAGTCTAGCTCATAGGTATGAAACTCGTTCCCACTCGTAACTGTCTCCCCATCACCTCAACTTTGCATCAACCCACTTGACATAATGACCTGCAAGACTAATTCACACAACCTCCCACCTCTCCCCCCCCACCCCCTCTCCTTCCCTCCCCCATTCTCATCCAAGGAACGAGAAGGAAGATGAACATGAGGATCACAAGGGCCCTAAGAGAGGGGAAAAGAAGGAATTACAAAAGTAGTGAGTGACCAAAAACAGGGAAGTTACACACGGGGGGGGGGGAAGAACAAGGGTGAAGGAACAAGGCAAGGCAGGGAAAGCAGGACCGAGGTGGGGAGAGAGGAAAAGAGGAATGAGGAAAACGGGGGGTAGGAGAAACGGTTCTTAAGGTCGGTAGGAAAAAAATGGAAGGAAGGAGGAAAGAGATAGAGGAGAAGGGAGGGAGGGAGGGAGGGAGGAAGAGAGAGAGGGAGAGGGAGAGAGAGGGAGAGGGAGGGAGAGAGAGAGAGAGAGAGAGAGAGAGAGAGAGAGAGAGAGAGAGAGTGAGAGAGAGAAGAGAAGAGACGGCCAATGGGCCATAATGGGGATCAGTGGCGAGGAAATGAGACGACAAGGGAAAGAAGGTGACACCAGGGTTGGTAACGAAGGGAGTGAAGGGGGTGGGGTTGGGAGGGGGAAACAAGAATTCACAGTAGACAGGAGCAAGGTACAGGGAGGCCGGACCGAAGGAGGACGCAAACAGAAAAAGAGAGGCACACAGGGTTACCCCAAAGTTAGCCCAACGACATCCACAGTCAAGGTTCATCCCCACTCTCCACATTCACTGCCGATTGTGAAAACCCTAGTCAAGATTCCATCCCATACATCAACCAAAACACCCTCCCACACAACCTTCTCAATACCCTCCCGGCCAGTGAACCCCTCTCTAGACTTCGCGCTCCAACTCAGTGCTCGCCATGCACCTCATAAGAGACGAATGCTAAGTACGAACGAGAATACCTTTCCCGCATATTACTGACTGCGCGTATGTCCGGAACTATTCAGTACATCTCTGCGAACCTCTCATTACCTCCACGCCTACAGGCCACCTGTTCGTACCCCGGCGAGCATTCGTCCCACTGTCCCTCTACTACTCGACCCAACTGCCTCCCCACCCACTTCGTGCACATCCTAGCGACCACCTCGCAGGCCAGCCTCCACCGCAAGACAGTCGGACACCAACACTAACAACTACACCTCAGAGACAACCTCACGACTCTATCCTGTAGCGCTGTATCCTGCCAACATCCTCCTTTCTTCATCCCAGCACCCCGCGTCCCTTCTACCCCCCCTGTCCGTTCATCCCTCCGTATCCTACGTGAGAATGTGACGAAGGAAAAAAAAAACGGTAACGTGAAATTGAAGAGCCTACCTTGCAGAGAGGAAGGCACATGCGTGGATGATTGGAAGATTGGATGAAAATGCTGGGACTGACAACAGACATCATGGCCGGAGCACGCTCCGCTGCCGGTGACTCACGTGCCATGGCAAAGGGAATCGGTATCTTGTATCAGGAAATATGTACCCATTATGGAGGAACTCGTAACAAGCAAAGCAACTGACCAGTAACCTACAGGTAACCAGCCGATCGGCAGCCTTGCAAGCCTAGTCCCTACTCCTGGATCCCTGACCGAGCCACGAAACCCTAGCCGCTTCCTGCCAATCAACTTTACGCCGTCAATTGGACCGCGCCGCCGGCCTCCTTGATCCGTCGCTCTGCCAGCTTGCTGAACAGCTTCGCCTTCACGATCAACGGCTGCGATGGCAGCTCGCCGGCGCCGAGCACCTTGAAGAACCCGAACTTGGTCACGTCGAGCACGGGAGCGGATCCAGCGCCGCTGGCCTTCTCCTTAACATCAGCGGGAATGAGCGACCAGAGCTCGTTGAGGTTGATGTGTGGGCAGTGGAACTTGTTCATGGACTTGTGGAAGTAACGCATACCGACTTTACCGAAGTAACCCGGATGGTACTTGTCCATCATGATCCTGTGGTGGTGCATGCCTCCCGCGTTACCGCGACCACCGGGATGCTTTCTGTGCTTGCCGATACGACCATGGCCGGCGCTGACGTGGCCGCGCTTTTTGCGGTTCTTCCTCAGAGAAGTCGTCATGGTAAATCGAGGAAAAGAGGGGAAGAAGAGGGACGGGGGTTGCCCTGAAAACGTAACCACGAGAGGTGGGTGCGGAGGAGGGGAGGAGAGGGAGGAGCAGGAGGAAAAGGAGAGGAAGGGCGGGACGCGAGGAGGGAGGGAGGGACCTGTCGCTCCAATCGAATGGGAGGGGAGGCGTAGGGGAGGAGGCGCAGAGGGGGAGGTGCAACCGGCACAGGGGATGGGGGTGGGGAAGAACGGGTGGGCGCGCATCAGAGTGAGCAGGTTCGGGGTCGACGTGCGGCGGGAGGCTGGGGCTCCATTTCGGCTGGGAGCAAACGAATCTGCCAGAGGTGGTGCAAGGCGCCGCGGGTTTTGGTATGGTTGAGGCCATGGAGCTCGGTGGTAAGCCACATGTAGTCGAGTAGCGAATTCCTGGAGTGTATTTACGAGTTTATATCAAGATGTAAGCTCAAGTATTTTGAATCTCTATTTCCTCTTTCTGACTAACCATTGACAGTAGGTCTATCTAATGCATTTCCTCACAATCCACGGACAACTATCTATGATAAAAGTGATCCCAGCCTTCTCAATTGGCAATCACCTATTTATTTCAAGAATTTAGAAAGCGTTCAAATCAGAGTGCAGTGCATCCAGGAGGTGCACACGATTCTGCTTTCATAGGATGCCATTCCATGCCACCATCATATAGAACGTTGGGTTGGGATTGCTTTAATGTGACCAGAACATGAAAATGATATGTTTTCTTCCTATATCTACTCAGAGGCAGCCTCATCAGTGCCCTCCTCAGCAGCATTCTTCTTCTCGTTTTGCACATAGATGAAGCTCTTAGAGCGGCCTGTAAGCACTGACTTGGCAAGGGACAGAGCCTTGAGAGCCTCGTCCCGAGCCTGAGCCTTCCACACAGCCCGGCGGACCTTGGTCTTTGTCCGAGAGGTCCTCTTCTTCGGCACTGCATGGGGAGGTGGGGGAAGCAACGGTGTTGAGAACATGACTTTTATGACAGCCAAGAACGAACACAGTTTGGACTCTAAACATCGCCTACATTCAAGAGGTCATCTCTGGCACTACCCAGCAAGGATGGGAGCAGCAAGGTGCTGAGAAGATAGAGCTCCACGAAAGTGAAGGACAGAAACATGGATTCTATTCTTGCTGACTGGTCTTCTCAAGAATTGTCCAGGAACGAGGGGAGAATCAAGGGCATTGAGGACATGAAGTCCAAGAGAGCGAATGATAGACACACTCGCTGGTGAGGAGAAATGCTGGGAACCTAGTGCTTATGGATCGGGTTAACGAACGCATCATCAAATTCCAACACAATAAAGTGGCTTCGGAAGGCACGTAAAGGGCTCAGGATTCACCAGTCTTTCTCTATGAAGAAAGTACACGGCTTCAACTGCATCCACCAGACGTCATATCAGCAAATAAGAGGGTCCGGCATAGCACGTGATGACTGCCCGTTCAGATAGCCCCTAGGAACTAAAGGAGGGCAGTTTGAGCAGGACAACGGCCAGCACATTAACCTTCGTGCAGTAAAGAACTTTAAGGATAGGGGGCTTCTCGACGAGGACGTGAAGGCGACTCGGGGGTTAGGAGTTTTTGTTTTGATCGTCGAATGTCAAATGTGGCATGTGCATTTGGTATCAGACTCACGAAAGTCTTATCCTTTTGTTCAAAAGGCGGCACGAAAGCAAACTACGGGCGCGACTAGCTGTCAGCATTAGGGTAATCGCGACTCTACCCACTTGCTATGACTACAACGCTGCAAATTTGCTCGATCTCCTGCGCGCAGCCGCCCTACAGCGCACCACCACGCGCAAACTAGAAAAAACTACGAAGGTGACTGGAAGTCAGCATTAGCGTGCATATGACTCTACCCACCTGCCATGACTACAAGGCTGCTGTTTTGCTCGATTTCCTGTGCGCAGCCGCCGAACAGCGCATCGCCACGCGCAAACTCAGAGCCGCAAGCGGACACGTGGACACTCTCGCATCCGAACCCCCGCGCGCACGTCAGCTCAGTCGCAATGCCCCTGGAAGCAACGCTAGCCCTAACGGTCGTCTTGCTGGCGATTTGCACTGACCACAGAGACGCAGAGACAGCAGCAATGGAGGCCATGGCTGACCACACTAACCCTGTAAAATTAACGAGGGTGAGCTAAGAAAATATTAGGTCACAGCCTCAGGGCTCACAGCAGCACAGGAGGGAGAAGAAAAGCTCCCCTGAAGTTGGTCGATCGAAAAAGCAGGTTTGAGACCCACCCAGCAGCCTCAGCACGAAAACATTTAGGTAAGGGGAATATTGCGGATTTCTGGGGATTATAGATGAGTACTAGTACGATTCTATGCGGTGCAGCTGGGAGTAGAGGGAGAAACATAAAGATGGGCAGGACGGAGTGATGCTGGCGTGGCGAACGGAAACGGATGACGGGTTGGACAGGCGCAGCATTGAGCTGACACGTAAGATAATTTCGCGAAGTATCCTGAAAAGGTAACCAGCGCATATTCGCTACATTACAAGAAGGAGTTTTCTTGTTATGAGTTGTGAAAGGAAAGAGTGCGCAGAATTCAATAACTCGGAAGTGATTACAACGTCTGATAGAAAATTCGAGGCCTAGGACTAATATAGCAATGCTAGCTAGGCCGAGTTTGCGGGGTCACGAGATGGTTGGGTGCAGGTTCGGGGTTGGAAAACCCGAAGGTGACACGGTGGTGACTTGGAAGGCGAGGTCGGCGGGCCGAGCCTGGGTTTCCGAAAACCGGGGTTGTACGCGTACAGTGTGACCCAGTAAGGAGTCAGAAAAAATCTTTACATTTCTCATGTGTGCTAGATTTCATGCCATGGACAAGTCCTACCCTAGAACATTCAATGGTTTAGATAGATGAGAACTTAAAAAGGGCCAATGGCTTTGTAATATGAGATATTTATACAAATGGTAGTTTGGAATCCTAGCGCATTGCCTCCTCAAAGTATCGTTGGAATAATTTGACAAACCCAGCAATGAACTCTTGTGAAAACAAAGGAGACACAAAGTTAATGTAGATATGGAGCTCGCCATCCTGAAACAAGCACATGCGACACATCAAATTAGGAACAGCAAGAAAATCCACATGAGTTAAGTGGTTGCAAGTTCATCATACATGGTACTTACACATAGAGCATCCCCAACGGATATGCTTGGGCCGACACCATGCGTTGCAAAGATCGGCCCCACAAACCCCTCCAGCTGAGGCGCCAAACCCTCGTTTCCTCCTCCAACAACCCCATCCACATGTCCTTGCCCCTCATTGGACGGCCAGTCCATGGGGAAGGGTGACTCGGTGATGGCAGACATGAAGGAGGTGCGCAGGGAGCACTCGGGGGAAAGCGTTGGCGTTTTCATGGCCTGGGAATCAGACAAAAGAGAGAGTGGGGGTGGGTGCGGAGGGAGAAGGAAGGGCAAGGGCGACTCAGTGATGGCAATCATGAAGGAGGTGCGCAGGGAGCACTCGGGGGAAAGCGTTGGCGTTTTCATGGCCTGGGACTCAGACAAAAGAGAGAGTGGGGGTGGGTGCGGAGGGAGAAGGAAGGGCAAGGGCGACTCAGTGATGGCAATCATGAAGGAGGTGCGCAGGGAGCACTCGGGGGAAAGCGTTGGCGTTTTCATGGCCTGGGAATCAGACAAAAGAGAGAGTGGGGGTGGGTGCGGAGGGAGAAGGAAGGGCAAGGGCGACTCAGTGATGGCAATCATGAAGGAGGTGCGCAGGGAGCACTCGGGGGAAAACGTTGGGGTTTTCATGGCCAGCAGATGAGACAACAAGTCCAGGGGGGAGAGAGGGGGCGTGAAGGGGGTGTGGGGGGAACGGGATGAGAAGGAGAATGTGGAAGGGCAAATCCGTGATAGCCGAACCTCAGTGGTGCAAAGGGGGCATTCAGGTAAAAATACAAGTTGACTTTTGAGTTGACTCAAAAGTCAACTCGCTACAATGTCACACGGTGTGTTTTCTACACGGAGAGCTATCATCGCTTGGAAGTTACCTAAAAGAGTTGGAAATTATTGAGAAGGAGAATGTGGAAGGGCAAATCCGTGATAGCCGAACCTCAGTGGTGCAAAGGGGGCATTCGGGTAAAAATGCAGGTGCCGAGGGTTACCTTCGCATGAGGTGTAGGCTGTGCGAGTGAGGACACACGTGTGTTACTCTCGAGCATTTTTCAAAGTAGTTCACCGATTAGGTGCTATAAGTGGAACCCAGTCTAGGTACCACATTGAAAAAGGAATTTAATCTCATTCTTACCATAGAAAAGAGCAGTTCCAGCACGGGCATGTCAATAAAATGTTTCTTCTGCCCGACGGCAGTTGCCAGGTCAGCATCTACAGTGCGAGCCACGTCCCAGAGCTCCAGGTCCTGATTGGCTGGCTGTTTCAGCGGCAATCCCGAGGTGAACACCCCCATGGCGTCGGGTGGCAGGGGTGGGTCCAGTAGCGGCCTGCAGTTCATGATGCTGGGAGGGGAAAGAAGAATGAGGGGACAGGAACGAAGAGGTTGAGGGAGCTTAAAAACTGACTTCCAGGGGACTTCGGAATCAAGACCATACTAAGAGGTGGTGGAGGCAGGTAGTAAGTCGATTTTTGAGTCGACTAAAAAATCGACTTACTACACGCGGACTTCGGGATAAAGACCATTCTAAGAGGTGGTGGAGGCAGGTTATGAAGCTGGAGGAGGGGGGGGGGGGGGGGAGGGAGAAAGTGGAAGAGGAGGGGGGAGAGTGCTCAGATCGAAAACAGCCCCGCGGTGAACATCCCCATGCCCCCCAACGCACCTGGTCAAATTCCCCCCTCCCAAACCTGGTCAAATCCCCCCCCACACAGCTGGTCAAATGCCCCCCCCCCCCCCCCCCACACACCCGGTCAAATTCCCCCTTCACACCTGGTGACGTTGAACGTCTCTGCGCGGCTGCCCAGCTGCTTGGCATCCGCCACGGCTTTGAGTGCTGCGGCACACTCAAGGCTGAAGAGGGAGCAGGAGCGCGAGGCGAGGGCAGCAAGGAGGATTTCAGTCTCTGATGGATGGATGGGAGGCAGAGGAGAGGGAGGAAAACGTAAGTTGGAGAAGGGGGGACAAAAGAATCTGCCACAGATTTGAGTGCCGCCGCACACTCAAGGCTGAAGAGGGAGCAGGAGCGAGAGGCCAGGGCAGAGAGGAGGCTTTCAGTCTCTGTAGGATTGGGTGCATGGGCGGCAGCAGAAAGGAGGGAAAAATGGATTGGAAATTCTTGAGTGCCACTGCACACTTGAGAGGTGATTTTTGAGTCGAATATTGAATTGAATACAAAATGAGGCTGAAGAGAGAGCAGGTGCGAGAGGCAAGGGGGATGAGCACTGACCTTGCTTGTCCAAGTGCAAGCAGGAAAAGGAGGAGCGGAATTCGTTCTTCCTGCTGTCTGCCCGGCCAGGCTGGAAGGGCGCGTGGGAGGAGGCCATGGAGTTGCGCACATAGGCCAGAGCGTCGTAGGCCTGAGAGAGGCCCTTGGAGAGGTAGGAGCGAGTTTCAGTGGGCTTGGGGATAAGCGAGGAGAGGGGCGGCGGGAGGGGAACGGCTTCTGATTCCCTGCAAGGGAACAAGAAGACAGAGGGGGTGGGCGGGAAGGTAGTGGGGTGACACGGGAGTTCATTGAGAGAGGTGTTCGGAAGCAATTGCACACGTAGGCAGCTGCACACATAGGCCAGAGCGTCGTAGGCTTGAAAGAGGCCCTTGGAGAGGTAGGGTTCCAGCGGGCTTGGGGATGAGCGAGGAGAGGGGAGGTGGGAGAGAGACGGCTTCTGAATCCCTGCAAGGGGACGGAATGTCAGAGGGGGTGGGAGGGCAAGTGGGGGAAAAGAGAGATTTATGGGGAAAGGCTAGCATGATCAAATTGTAGTAAATGCGGTTGCGGGGGCCATTGTCCATGAAAGGCTGGAGAGTGGCAAGAGAGATTTTTACTCAACTGAAAGTCGGGTTGAGGTGCTTCCAAAAGTCATGGAATGGCGGGAGCGTGGTGGGCGTGAAATTGTGAAAGCTGGAGATGTAGCTTGATGACTCGGCAACGGCTGGGACGGCTGAGTCTGGCCCATAAGTTGGCAGGTAGTGAGTGGTGCAGGGCGGGGACGAACGCCATTGCCAGCTGGCGAACAGCTGGGCGGTCCAGCAGGGAGTGAAGTGAGTGCGACGTACCTTGCGGGATTAGCGGTGACTGAAGGTTGAGAGTGGTGCAGGGCGGAAACGAGAGCTGTTGCCAGCTGGCGAACAGCTGGGCGGTCCAGCACGGCGCGATGGCAGCGCAGAGCGATACAGGTGGCGCGTGGGAGATGGTACATGTGGATCTGTGGGATTGGGGAAGATGGTACACGTGTATCCAAATATTGAGTCTTGTGGACGAGACGGATAAGGAGACAGAAGGGAAGAGAAGGATAACGCACAGAGGAGAGAAGCCTGGGACCGGAGGAAATTAGAAATGGGGAGAGAACATGATAATTGGCTTGCTCATGAACATGGTGCTTGGCTTGCTGTGGTGGATAGGCTCAACGGTTCAACAATTCAGGCTCAGGGCTGGACAGGACAGGAGGGAGCCGAATGCAGAAACGGACTGTAGGGAGCAGGATAATAGGCAGGCGAAACGTTCACTGGAAAGCCACAACAAGAAGAAAGAAAACAACACCCAGACAAGCTTTTCCATGCAACTAAGTGTTACCCAGTGCGACTCAGCGCGACCAGTGCGACCCAGTGCGACCCAGTGCGACCCAGTGCGACCCAGTGCGACCCAGTGCGATCCAGTGCGACCCAGTGCCACCCAGTGCCACTCAGAAGGCCCTTGCTAGCTACCTGCAAGGCGTCAGCGGGTGCTTCCCCATGCGCTCCTGTGATTGGCTGATTCAACTCCATCTCCACTATTCTGTGCAGATCCTCCGCTTTGTCCGCGCCCTTGAATCTACCGGTCACCTTGATTCCACCACTACCTTCTGTTGCACTAGCTTCTAGGAATTCACCGCCCCCATTACCACCATCACCATCACTTTTCCCATCACCATCACCACCACCATCATCATCATCACCATCACCATCCCCATCCCCATCCTCTGCATCCTCAAACTCATCCTCCTCTTCCTCCTCCTCCACTCCCCTCTCGACCGCATCGTCTGCTGCAGATAACTTCTTGAATTCTGCTTCCATTGCTGACGTGGACTTCTCACCCTCACCACAAGCATCACCATACGCGTCACTCTCTTGGTCTTTCTTCGGCACGTCAGACTCTTCCCCGTTCTCGAGGCTGCTGGGGTCGTTGTCCAATGGCGCAGCAGCCTCCCACGCTGCCACGTCATCAATGCTCCGGGACACTACAGTGATTGGTTTCGCGTCACGGCACAAGTGGAGTTCAAGCGGACCGCCAGTTTTACCCTGCCCGACAACTCGGGCAAGCAGGAGCGGAAATCTCGACCCAAGCTCCTTCGCTGCTTGCTGGACTTCTTCAAGCGAAAGCTGCCCGGAAAACTGTAGACCGACGACGCCAAGCCCGGTTCCCATCTCCATCGCACGACACCAAAGTTCTTCGTCAGTGGAAAGCGAGCGACATGCGACGGGTCCCTGCGACTCGCATGTCGCAGAGCCGCAGGCCGCGACCTTCGTCACGCTGCTGGTCCAGAACATTATCAGAGATTACTCGACCAAATATACAGATTGCAGCCACGTAATACAATCAGACCGTCTAACAGTGAAATTCCTACATCTACCGATGGTGTGATTTTTTTTCAAGTTACTAGAATTGAGCTGGAAGTATGTGCCTGACTGGCCGGGTGATTCATGTCATGATGCGCTAGAGGGTGCCGCATCGGCTCAGTTCAGTTGCGTACAGAACTGTACAGTGGTAAAGTCTACATACATACAGAAGATAACGCCTCAACTGAATTCATAGGATGGCTTTTTGCTGTTCCGTTCCGACCTCCAGCATCCCGAGGGTTTTCACATCATGATGAGTGTTACGGGTGCAATGAATCGAAGTAGCGAGAATTGCACTAAGGTGTCAAACGAGTACAAAATGTGAGCGAAGGCATGAGCGAACATTTATACGCGAAACATGCAAAACGGTAACGCGGTGCGTGCGAGCTTGCTAGTGCTACGCTGGAACGAGGCTCGGGCTAGTCCCGAAGCGTAGGCCGATATGGCCATGCCAGCAGTGCGAGGTTTGGCAAAAACAGTGCGCGCGAAGTCGGCGAAGTTCCGTTAGCAGTAACGGGCGAACAATCGGCTGTTGTTGTACGCGATGTAGTCGGCTCCGTAAGGAATGCCGAGAAAATTCCTTACACTACCCCCCCCCTTAAGAAGCCCCCTCCGCTACGCGAGTGCGTGTATATCGCGGAATCCCCGGCTCCTCAGGTACACTTGCAGGGCAGGGTGATTTTCGATGTTGCTCAGGGGCACCCAGCTATCTTCAGTTGGCGTGCGGTCTTTCCAGCGAACGAGGAATTCAATCCTCCTGATTCCCGTGGGGTGGCGGATCCGATGGCTCAGAATTTTTTCGGGTTCGATGATCGGCTCTGATGCAGGGCGAGTCATTGATTGTGGCCGGTGACGCGGCAGTTGACTTGTGGTCGGGATGTATGGGCGAAGTAGGCTGACGTGGAACGAAGGGCTGATGTACCAGTCGGTTGGCAACAGTAGGTGCGCGGTGACGGGTGTGATCATGTGACTAATTTGGAATGGTCCACAGTAGCGCGGTCGTAATTTTGGTACGTCGGGTAGTCGCAGATTTTGCGTGTCAAGCAGCACGTAATCTCCAGATTGGTACGTGACAGGACGGCGGTGGCGATCAGCGTTGCGCTTAGCGATGACGTTGGCCTTTTTTATTGCTTCGGCGGCTCTGGCGCGGGCAGCTTGCAGGACTTCGGCGAATTGTTGTGCACGTGGCGTTGGGTTGTCCGGACTCGGCGTCATGGGCACTGTGGGGTTTTGCCCATAGTTCTGGTAGAACGGGGACTGCTGCGTCGTGGCTGATGTGGCGTTGTTGTACGCGAACTCGATCAGCGGCAGCTGCTGCTCCCATGTCGTGGGGTCGTCGCACGTGGCACGAATCAACTGCTCCATCGTCTGATTCGTCCGCTCCGTTTGGCCGTCGGTCTCGGGGTGGTACGACGAACTGAACTGTAGCCTGGTCCCGAACTGCTCCCAGAGGTTCTTCCAGAAGTTGCTTGTAAACTTCGTGTCCCTGTCGCTGATAATTGCTGCTGGTATCCCGTGCAGGCGAACAACGGCTGCGATGAACAGGCGAGCGGTCTCCTCGGCTGAGATCGACTTTTTGCACGCAGCGAAGTGTGCCATCTTCGTCAGCCTATCCACGACGACCATCACCGCGTCGTTACCCCCAGGGTTCGAAGGTAACCCTGTGACGAAGTCCATGGTTACTTGCTGCCAGGCGCGTTCGGGCGGTGGGATCGGCTGCAATTGACCCGCCTTCCGCTTCCTTGAACTCTTCATCACCTGACACGTCGGGCACGAGCCCACGTGCTGCTGTACGTCGGTCAACAGCTCCGGCCAGTAATAGTACCGCTGCAGTTGCTGTCGTGTTTTTTCTACCCCGAAATGTCCCGAGGTAATCCCGTCGTGTGCCTCCTGCAGCAGCAGCTCCCTCAGTAGTGAGTACGCGGGTACCCAAATGCGGTTGGTGCCTGTTTTTACGTAATAGACTCCTTTTGCTTCTGCCAGTTGCTGTGAATTTCCGGTCGTGAAAAATGGGTCGGTGCGGTATCCGTGGGTGAATAGGCCAGTTAAAAGTGGGTTGGTTTGGGCGAGTAGGATGGCGTGGAGTTGGGCGGTGGGGCGGGTGAGAGCGTCGGCGATGTTGGATGCGCCTTTTTTGTACGTAACGGTGTAGTGAAAATTGGACTCGAGATAGTCCAACCAGCGAATCTGTCGTGGGTTGAGATTCGGTTGGGCGCGAAGGTACTGTAGCGAGCGGTGGTCTGTCCGTACTGTCACGTCGGCGCCAGTCAGGTAACATCGCCAAACTTTGAACGCGTGCACGATCGCTAGCATCTCGCGGTCGTGTATCGGGTAGTTACGTTCGGGCGGGTGTAGTTTGCGGGACTCGTACGCGATTGGCTGGAGGCCGTTCCCGAAGTCCTGCAACAGTACTGCTCCCACAGCGATGTCACTTGCGTCGGTGACGAGCTCGAACGGACGGTGGGGATTTGCGATGTGAAGGACGGGCGGGGAGCACAAAATAGTTTTGAGGGCCGAGAAGGCAGCTTGCTCTTTCTCCCCCCACGTGTACTCAACCCCCTTCCTCAGCAGGTCGGTCAACGGGGCAGTCAGCTTCGCCATGTCGGGGACGAACCGGCGCACGTAGTTGACGAACCCCAGGAAACTCTGCAACTCGGTCAAGTTGGTCGGCGCGTGCCAAGCCTGAATCGTCGCAATTTTCTTCGGGTCTATTTCCACTCCTGCAGCTGAAATAACATGTCCCAAAAACTCCAGGCGGTCCTGTAAAAACTCACACTTAGATGCTTTGGTCAGTAGGCGGTTCTCACTCAGGATTTTAAAAACTGCTTCGATGTCTTGTAAGTGCTGTGCTCTGTCAGGGCTGTAAATCAGTATGTCGTCCAGATAAACGATGACGCACTTATCTAAAAGTGGGCGGAATGCTTCGTTCATGGTCATTTGGAAAGTGGCGGGGGCGTTGGTCAGTCCGAATGGCATGACGGTGTATTCGAAGGATCCGTAGCGTGTTCGGAATGCGGTTTTAGGGCAGTCGGGTGGATTAACGCGGATTTGGTGGTAGCCTCCTCGGAGGTCGATTTTCGAGAAAACCCGGGCTGTGCGCAGTTGGTCGATCAGTTCGTCGGCTCGTGGGATGGGGTAACGGGATTTGATGGTAACCATGTTCAGTGCCCTGTAGTCGATACACATGCGAAACCCCCCGTCCTTTTTCGGTGTGAACAGTATGGGTGCGGCGAAGGGCGACGAACTAGGGCGAATGAATTCCTTTTCGAGCAGGTAATCGAGCTGCTTCCTCAGTTCGTCTAGTTCGGGTTGGGTCAGTCGGAACTGTCGCTGTACTGTTGGCTGTGCCCCCGGTTCCAGTTCTATCCTGTGATCGTGCGGTCGCTGAGGTGGCAGTCCCGTCGGCAGGTCGTCCGGGAAAATGTCACTGTACTGTTTCAACAGTGCCGCCAGGTCACTCGGTACGTCGGTCAGCAGTTTCTGTAAATCGCCCCCCTTGTCTGCTGCCTCGGCTTCCCGAATGTCGACCGCGTACACGTCGGCTCCGGCCGCACCAGCGCGTTTCATCGTGATCGCGTTGACACGCACCGACGAAGACTCTGGCGAGTCCCAGCGAGGTAAGGCGATGTTGTTACCGTTTACTCGCACGGTGCAGTCACCCGTCGTCCAGTAAATTCGCGGATTGTGTCGTCGCAGCCAATCACGCCCGAGTAAAATGTCGGTTCCGTCGAGGGTCGTTGCGAGCATTTCCTGGCTAAACGTGAAATTACCCCCGCATCGAATCCGAACTCGGTCTACGCGTTCCCGTATTGCCAGCGGCGTGCCGTCTACCAGTCGTGCGTCGATCTCAGGTAAGCATCGGTCCAGTGACAGTCGCAGTTTTCGTGCTGTAGCAGTATTAATGAGGCTGTGGCTGGCTCCCCCGTCTACGAAGATTTTAACTAAGTCCGTCCCAATTTTCCCACTGAGCAGTATAGGGCTGTCTACCGTGGTACCCTCCTTATTCGGCCGGGTGTGGTCGATTGCGTGAACCGGCACAATCACTCGGTGAGGGTCGGTTGGGTCGGGCGAGCGGCGTGACCTGTCAGTAGAGGGCCCGTCTGCTACTGACTTCCAGCGTTTCCCTGCTGCTTGGTCTGTGTCTGCTGCTCAGCTTCCCCCTTTCCCTTAGCGTTTTCCGGGCATTCGCTCTTGCGATGTCCCGGCCGATTGCACGCAAAGCAGCGCCCTTTGAACGATGCGGCAGCGGCATTTGCGGCGACGGCGCGTATCGTGGCGCTCTCGTTCGTCCCACGAGGCCGATGTCCCCAGGTGTTGTTTCCGTAGGACCCCGGTCTCGGTCGGCGAAAGAAGTCGAGCTTCTCTGCCATAGCGAGGATTTCCTGAAACTCAGTGACGCCGCGAAGCTGGATTTCCTGAGCGATGTCCTGCTTCAGGCCGCCGATGTAGCGGTCGATGCGTTCGCTCTCATGCATGTAGCCCACCTGCTCGCATAGCGCCAGAAATCCGCTCGTGTAATCCTGGACGGAACCGAGTTGGCGCCAAGTGCGGAGCTTCTGTCGTGCCGAGATCGAGGCCGCGATTGGCTCAAATCGAGCGCGCAGACCTGCGCACCACGCGTCCCACGTGCGATACTGGGGCACCTCCACGAAATACGACGGCGCCCAGGGTCCGGTTTGTCCTTCCCGTGTCGGTAGTGTCGCGTAGTCGGTCGGCTTCGTGACGATGACGCGCCACCAGTCCATGGCGGGCCCTCGCAGCAACGACACGGCGTATCGAATCTTCGCCGAGTCCTCCGAGACGTAGTTGGCGTCGAAGAAGACATTCATTGTGAACAACCACGCCTGGACGGTAGGACCACCCCGTTGACTCGGGTCAAAGCATGGCGGGCGCTGCGGCTTCAGTGGCATCGGTGACGGCAGTCCCGAATCGTGGGTTGGTGCCGAAATCGTGACGCGAGGCTGACTTGGGGCCGCATGCGTCGCTCTGGGGTGTGTCGTGCCGTGGTCGTCGTCTCCGTCGGGGCGGACGACGCCATCACTGGCCGCGCTCGCGGGTTGCCCCACACTCCCGTGTTGTGATGTTGAGGGTGCAGGTTGAATCGGAGTGCCAGGTGCTTGAGATTGTGCTTGTTGTGCCCTCATGAGGTCATTTTGCAGCGATGAGCGTTCTGCCGTTAATGCCGCGATTTCCTCGGAGCTTTCGTGCAGCTGTCGCAGCAGATCGTTCAAACGCTCCTGCGTGAGGGTGGTGACGTCGATATTTTCAGCCATGACGAAGGGCGTCGGCTCGTCTTAGTCTAGGCGCAGTCGTGGCTGCACGCGTTTACGAGAGAACGCGAGGACAGCGGCTCCTAGGGGCTAAGGTGCGTAGGTCCCTTCGAGTGAAAAATCAAAAGTTGGTTTCCTGGTGTGCGGAGATGCGCGGTCCGAAAGAAAGGGGCTCTGATAACCAAGTGTTACGGGTGCAATGAATCGAAGTAGCGAGAATTGCACTAAGGTGTCAAACGAGTACAAAATGTGAGCGAAGGCATGAGCGAACATTTATACGCGAAACATGCAAAACGGTAACGCGGTGCGTGCGAGCTTGCTAGTGCTACGCTGGAACGAGGCTCGGGCTAGTCCCGAAGCGTAGGCCGATACGGCCATGCCAGCAGTGCGAGGTTTGGCAAAAACAGTGCGCGCGAAGTCGGCGAAGTTCCGTTGGCAGTAAGGGGCGAACAATCGGCTGTTGTTGTACGCGATGTAGTCGGCTCCGTAAGGAATGCCGAGAAAATTCCTTACAATGAGCAAATCGCCCTTTCAATGAGATACAGTAGGGTAATGAAAGCTGAACTTTGGTTGTGTGACATAACAATGAGTGACCGGGTCACACAACGATGACAACCTTCAACCCCGCACTCGAAATTCTGGTCAGCTCCGTTATCTGAGCTCTTCTTTTTCCTAGCCGGTACTTTCTAGGGAGCTATCAGGCCTCTGGCTCTTTGATTGGTTCATTCTTACCCCAACCGACGTATTCCATAGCTTTCGCATTGTCCCTCCCTTATGATCAGCGATCGTATCCTGGTCACGACCTGAACGCCAGGCATATTCGCAAAACATAACCGACTTTTGACCCTGGGTTCATTACGCCTCAAGAAATCTCAGGATCCATATTTTGGAACCCCCTTTCTTCGTCTGATGAATTGAAGCCTTGTCGTGATACTTGGCAGCATTTCGCATAGGAAAAGCTTCTTTCTTGAATCGTCGGGGAATAAGCCGGCTGCGTCTGATCAGACGGTCGAGATGTCGTTTTGGGGTGCGTCACTAAAATGAGATTGTATTGAGAGTGTGAGGACTGTTCTCGAGAGTTTGCGCGTAAGATTATTTATTAATATTGTGCGTTTCGTCTTGAGCCCTCTTCGCCTTCTTCTGCTGCAGTTTCTGGTTCCTCTACCAATCGTTTCTTACTACCATCCCATTTTCTGGTTCTTATCTGATCAATCGACAGGTGTGGAGGTGAAGGCGGGTGAGACGGTGGTGGTGGATCCCACAGAGCATGACTTCGACTACATACACCTGTCCCAGGTACCACCTGCACTGCTTGCTCCTGTCCCAGGTACCACCTGCACTGCACGCTCCTGTCCCAGGTACCACCTGCACTGCACGCTCCTCTCCCAGGTACTGTTCTCAATTCTTGATTCGCAGTGGTGGTGGACCCCACAGAGCTTGACTTCGACTACATACCCCTCTCCCAGGTACATCTGTCCCAGGTACATCTGTCCCAGGTACATCTGTCCCAGGTACATCTATCCCAGGTACATCTGTCCCAGGTACATCTGTTCCAGGTGCATCTGTTCCAAGTACGCCTGTCCCAGGTACCACCTGCACACCACCTGTCCTAGAAACACGTCGGCTTCTCAAAAGCAACTCGGATTTAGCAGGTAAGCCTGCACATATTTGTTGCATGTCAGTGTTTCATGCGAAAGCGCTGCACACATTTTCCTTTGGTGCAAAGCTTGTCAGGCAATTTCACAAGCGAGCCGAACGTCACTCATGAAGTGTAACACAAAGAACGGCTTTCAACCCATGTCACATGGCTTTTGGAGTTGCATTTTCTCACTCACCCCCTGCCCACGTGCAGTGCAACCCACGTGACCGTTGATTCGACTCACAAGTCTCTTTGCAGGCCACTACAAGCGAGTCGAAATTCCACTCTCGTGCAGGCTAATAGAATGGAGAACGGCGTCCATCCAGTGCTTGTGCAGCCTCATTCTCCCACCCGCTGTTCACATGCAACCCACGTCCCATCCCACTCGCCTCATGCCAGGCGAGTCTGGGCGAGGTGGCCGAGGACCACGTGCAGGTGGTGCTAAAGGTCTGACAGGTCTTATGGCTCTGATGGTGATGGCAGGGATGGCAGCGATGGTATAGCGATGATTGCGATAACAATGACAATGGTTTTTCATCCTCACTCCACCGTGCCAGGCGAGTCTGGGCGATGCAGCCAAGGACCACGAGCGGGTGGTGCTCAAGGTGCGACAGGTGGAGTCCCACAAAGCCTCTGATGACCCTCACAACTCTAATAACGCTGATATTATCAAACCCATGAGGAAATTCTTCCCCTGCTCGCATGCCATGCAACCCACGTCTCACCCACTTGACCCCAGGCGAGTCTGGGTGAGGCAGCCAAGGACCATGGGAGAGTGGTGCTCGAGGTTCGACAGGTGGAGTGGAGTTCCCTAAAGAATCTGATGACTCTTAATGATGACGCCGGCAAATGATGATATCGTTGGCCTATGTTTTCCTCCTTCCCCTGCTCGCGTTCGATCCATGGCTAACCCTCTTACCCCAGGCGAGTCTAGGCGAGGCGGCCAAGGACCACGAGCGGGTGGTGCTCAAGGTCAGGCAGGTGGAATTTCCCGAAGACTCTGATGACTCTGATGATGATGACAACAGCGATGACAGCAATGATAGCGATGAGAATGATGATGACGGCAAGGGCAAGGCGGGGAAGGGGGCGTTGAAGTCCAAGTCGTTTGCAGTGGGGCCTGAGGTGGTGCTGGGTGTGCTGATGAAGGGGCGGGTGGATTTCGCAGCCATGGACCACATATTCGACCGGCAGTTCAGCCTGGCCCACACGGGCAGCCACAGCGTGTTCTTCTCGGGGTACAAGACCTCTGACTCTTCTGTTGCTGAGTCCCTGTATGGTGAGTGCTTGCACGGGGAGACCCCGCCCCCCATTGCCATGTGGTCATGGACCACAAATTTGACCGGCTGTTCAGCCTGGCCCACATGGGCAGCCACAGCGTGTTCTTCTCGGGGTACAAGACCTCTGATTCTGTTGCTGCTGATTCCCTGTATGGTGAGTCCCGTTTTGAGGCGCCTCAAAACTGTTCTTCTCGGGGTACAAAACCTCTGATTCTGTTGCTGCTGATTCCCTGTATGGTGAGTCCCTCGATGGTGAGTGCTAGTAAGGGGAGGCTCCGCCCCCCATTGATTCGTATGGGGCTCAGTCCCTGTATTGTGAGTGCTTGTGTGGTGTGTTCTTGTATGGGGAGAGTCCACCTCCCATGTCCATGTGGGCGTGCTGGTGAAGGGGCGGGTGGACTTTGCAGCCATGGACCACATATTCGATCGCCAGTTCAGCCTGGCTCACACAGGCAGTCACAGCGTGTTCTTCTCGGGATTTAAGACCTCTGATGCCACTGGTTTTGACTCGCTGTATGGTGAGTGCTTGTGTGGTGACGTGATTTCTTGTACAGGGAGACTCCACCCCCCAATGGCCATGTGCGCATGAGTGATTTTATGGTGAGTGGATGATTTAGGTTCCTTCACACCGAAACGGATTGAGATGCTTTTTTATTTCTGCTTATGTGCACACTTGGTGTTGTGCTGTGCAGATGATGACGAGGAAATTGAGGAGGATGAGGAAGAGGACGAGGAGGAGGACAGTGATGAGGATGATGATGAGGAAGAGGAAGACGAAGAAGACGAGGCGATGGAAGGCAGTGACGATGAGGAAGCAGCGGCAGCAGCCATGGCAGGTGAGCTGGGAAGGGACTGAGGCAGTAGCTGTGCCATATGGTTTCAATCACAGCAAGTAAGGCAAGCTTGGAGTAACAACTTTGGTTAGCTGTACCATTTCACTCCGCATGACTCTGTGTGTGGTGGGGTAAAAACTGTACATGGTCTACGTCTGCGGTTTTGTGATTGGAAGGTAAGGCATTCACTATCTCGTTACCCCCCTCGTCTTCCATCTCCAGCTGAGAAATCGTCAAAGGGGATGGCGGCGGCTGCAGCAGCTGCTGTTGAGAAGCGAGGTGAGATTCGTCTCCCTTCCTTCTCTGTTGCTATTGACACATTCTTTAGAGTCTCTTGTGAGGTTGTCAGTGCACTGCGAACCTTTTTTTCGTTTCCAGCTTCCGTCCTTCACCTTCCTCCCACACCTGTTTCTCCGTCGGCCATCGCCCATTGCCCATCGCCCATCTCCCATTGCCCATTGTGTTTTGCCATTCCCCACTGCCATCCGCTCCAAATCATGCCCGCTCGTCTTGCAGCTTTTAGACGTCCCAAACCCCTGTTACCCACTGCCCACTAACCTCAGAACATGCCCCCAAATCTTTTCTGCCCTCGTTCTGCTGCAGCACGCATCAAGTCTGGAAAGAAGGGCACTCCAGTGCCCTCCCCAGCAGGGGGAAGAGGGGCAGCAGCATTAGCAACACCAGCAGCAGCATCAAAGCAAGGAACTCCAATGGCGGCAAGAGCTGAAGGCAAAGATTCCGCACCGCGGAACGGGAAGGAAGTGACACCAAAGAAAGAGGTCAGTTCATTAAATTAAAAAAAAAAAAAAAAAAAAAAGGTTCAGCGAAGAGTCGACTTTTGAGGTGCCTCAAAAGTGGACCCACTCTTCTCTCAGTCTGAATCGGAGAAGAAAAGGGCGGGTGGGTGAAACAGGAGATGTTGCCTGCTTGGTATACTGTTACATGCAACTGGGGAATGAGAACCAGCTGTTCCTGTTTGCGGGCCCAACTTAGAGCACTGTGCTTTAAAAAAAAAAAAAAAAAAAACTGCCCAATAATCATATTTCATCACATTGTTGATTCACATGATAGCAGTGACTGGCTGTACACTGTGCTGCAGACTGCATGTACATGCAACTCCTGCCGCCTGCAACGCAGCAAAGTCATGGTGTTTCTGCTCGTATCCCTCCTTCACCCTCCCTCACACGCCCCTCTATCAGCCTGTGACGGGCAGCAAGCGGGCATCAGTGAGCATCGTCACTCCGCCCTCCTCGAAAGGCAAGGGGGAGAAGACTGAGCGGAAGAAGCCTCGCCCCGACACCCCCGCTGCCATCAAGACAGCAGGTGGGTGCGGGAAGTGTGTTTGCGACGGGCTCCAAACGGGCAGCAGTGAGCAATGCCACTCCGCCCTCCTCGAAAGGCAAGGGGGAGAACACGGGTGAGAGGAAGTAGCCTCGTCCTGATACCCCGCTGCCGTCAAGACTACAGGTGGGTGCGGTGGGGGGAGAAGAGGTGATGGGCAGCAAACGGGCAGCCGAGAGCATCGTCAATCCGCCCTCCTCAAAAGGCAAGGCGGAGAAAACGGGTGCGAGGAAGAAGCCTCGCCCCGACACCCCCGCTGCCATCAAGACAGCAGGTAGGGTGCGGGGAAGGTGGTGGTTAGCTCATTATAGTTGTAAGCGCCCCGCGCCGTGGGTATCATCAAGACAATAAATGGAATGAGGGAACCCGGTATTGAGCGCATCACACTTTTTGCCTCCCTACGCCCTTTCAGTGCTGGTTCTGTCAAGACAGCGGGTGGGTTGAGGGAAGAAGATGATGTGGTATTGAAGTTCTGAGAGTCGTGGGCACCTCACGCCCTGACACTGTTTGAGATTCCGTAAAAGTTGCTTCTTTACACCCAAATCCACAAACACGGTCTTTTGCTGTTGCTTTTGTGTGCAGCCAAGGTGAAGCCGCAGGCAGCTGCAACAGTAACCTCTCCTCAGGCCCAGAAGGTACTTGGAAGATTCACGCTCTCTCCATTCTGCTCCAAATCCTTTCCTAACTGATGCATCAGAATGCTACGCAATCTAAATTGTCGACTCGTGTCGCTGTCACCTAATATACGGTATTACCATTCTCTACCCCATGCCTCCATAACTCCTTCCCCCTTCCCCACCCTGCATGGACTGCTTTCTGGAATGCGCAAGTCGCCTACTTCTGTTCCGATCACCTCACCATCGACTCCTAAATCGGGCTCCTTCCCATGCACAGCATGCTCAAAGTAAGACCTTTGTAACGCTTGTATCTTATCAATGTAATTTGTGCTTGCCTTGCTCTTGTGTCTTTTTTCTTTACATGCTCCAAGCGCCAAAGCATTTGACCCCTTTTCGTCCCAAACTCAATGTCACTTGTCTTGCAGGAGATTCACGTCTTCTGACTCCTTAGCAAACCATGTAAAGGCGAAGCACCACACAGGGAAACAGTGAAGCAACTCTGGTGTTATAGCTAGCTCGTCATCCTGTCTTAACGCTTGTGTTATACTCAGCAACAAAATGGTTTTACGAAGGGAACGGACTAGCACAAGCAAGTACAGCTTTCCGTCGTCTGAATTCAACACAAGCACAGTTACATTCATTTCCCCACCAGTTGTGACGGGCACGTGAAGTGCGAGTTGTTTGGTGTCCCAATTACCCTTTCGCGCAATTCTATTCGCAGTGCCCTCATTCAAACCACAACAGCGTGAGCCAGAGGGACGGACCGGGATTTTAAAGTGCTGACGTGGTTGGACGTGTTGTTGTTTGTTTGTTTGTTTTTAGGGCACATGAGTGTGCACCCTGGTACGACATGTGCACTCCTCTCCCTCCCCCCCCCCCCGCCCCGTGCCTTCGCGGTGATGATATGGAGACGGCACGGCAGTTCTCCTGCGGAGCGGAGGTGACGGGAACATTGGGGTTGGGGTTGGGGGACACGCTGCCTGACATGCGCCTTGGCTTTTGTTCCCTGAAAACCTGCCCCTCACCAAGCCACCGACTGCTGCGGTTTTTCACCAACCTCAAGGCCTCATCCGTCCGTTGAAAATGACCTGGTATCATCGCAACCGTTAAAGTCCCTACGACGTCAGGCACACCCTGGAAGGAGCTTCGCGATTTCTGCCCCTGTATCGAAACCTAAACTGGTAACCAGTGTCGTCGAAACCGAATTCTCCCGTGGCGACTTGTGCCAGCATCCACAACAGGTTGACAACCTAATCCTCAACCCTAATTTGCGCCCTACCCGTCCTCTTCTCCTGCACTCAACATTCCCTCCTCTCATCCCCTTCCGCGAACTCAAATTGGCGCTACAATTGGAAAGATGAGGATCGAGGGTCAAAACTCAATCCGCCACCACAAAGTGGTCCCAAGGAGTTCTGTTAAACCTCCAGAACCAGCTTCAACCCCTACAGAACCAGCTCCAACCCGTCAACTCTGTACGCCCCGTCAACTTTGTAACAGCCCTACATTCTGCGTCTCATCAAACCCTTCCCCATCTCCCATCCCTTGCGCGCTCCCCATCATCTCCGCGCCCCAACCCTGGTCCCTTCCGCCACCCCACCCGCCCAACGTGCGCAAGTTGCCCGACCGACTGCTTCCCCCGCCTGGCACCTGTAGCGCAACTGCCTCCTCCAAGTTTCAATACCAGCCCATTCGTCCGCCATGGCCTCCCTTCTCTTCCTTCCCTTGGCTTACTGCCGCTTGCTGCTGCCTGCTGTTGTTGCTGCTCCAGGTGCTTCACTGGTTGCTTGCAACCTCCCAACCTTTTTCACATGATTCCCAGAGAAGGTAACAGCCACGTTTCAGCTGCAGCAAGAGCAAGATAGTAACTTCAGTCAAGCCGCACAGCGTGTAACCCGCGCAGCAACAGCTAGTTCGGCTGCGCTTGAGCAAGATAGTAACTTACGCGTGTAACCTGTGTAGCAACTGCTAGCACGGCTGCGCTCGCTCGGCTACGCTCGCTACTTCCTTCAAACCGTACTCATCCATTTCGTATAAATATGGAATCATCTACAGAAGCGAATGAAGAAACAGCTGATACATGCGACTGAGATTCGCATGTACGAAAGATACAAACGGTCTTCTTTTGCCTCGCTAGGCTGTTTTTTCCTAAACAGACTTCGCCGCTTTTGACTTGGCCTACGTGCACTAGCCGTGTATTTTAGGGTTCCAGCGCCCACGGATGCATCCTCGCCGTCTACTTTCGGGTTCCATGCAGTTATTGGCTTAGATGTCATCCTAACCGTACATCTCGCCTCCACCTCAGTTCTCTCAGCAGCCGCGAATCCCGACAACCGCGTCCGGCGGGGCCATGGGTTTGCGAAGCAACTCTGGCAAGTCTGGAATCTCTTTTCTAACAGGCTGGGCAGTTTTTATAATGTGCTCACTACTATGTGCACATTTGCTGCGCGCCGATAGCGCCGAAAGCGCCGCCGATAGCGCTGACAGCTCACGCCCCAACAGCCTTGCCTCCCGGAGAGACTCGGAGCTCGTAGTAAACAGATTCAAACCTAGATTTGCACTCAGATTTGGACACATATTTAGACATCTGCTGGCGTTCTGGGATGACACGTCAGCAGCTGCGGGTACAACCGTGGAAGGGTTGGGAGGAACTGGTAAGACGGCCGAGCCGAGGAGTGGCCGTCAGTTACTCCGACTTCTGGTCGCGACGGCGCAGCCGTTGACGGCTAAGACGAGTATCGAGGCGCCGCAAGAGGCGGCCGAGCCTAGCAGTGGCCGTCATCTCCTCCGCCTTTTGGTCGCGACGCCGCAGCAGTTGACAGCTAAGGCCGTCACAAGCGCCGTTGGAACCGCTGTGAAATCCGCTGTTAAAACCGCCGTGAAAGCTTCTGCGGGGAAATTAGTGTCTAAACCTGCCGCGAAAGGAGCCGTCCCAGCTGGACCAAAGGTTGCGCCCAAAACGGCGAGCACCGCCTCTAAAGCGCAGCCGATGCATAAAAGGGGTGAGAAAAACGAACGAGGAGAAAGAAATGATCGAAGAGGCGGGGGCGGAAGAGACGGCGGAAGAGGCGGCGACGGCAAAGGTCCTCCTTGCGACCCTAACAGGAGCCCTAAGAACTGTAGAAGCTGGAAGGGCCGCGGCTGGCCGGAATGGCAGCAAGGGAGAAACAACGGGGGAGGCGACGACGACGACGACGACGACGGGCCGTACGGCGACGACGACTACGACGACGACGACGACGACTCTGCGACCCCGACGCCCACGCCGTCTCCGCCGCCGCCGCCGGCGGAGGATATGGAGAGCGAGGACCGGTGGTGGGAGGGCGGGCGCGCGCACGTGATGTGCCACGATCGGGAGTGCACGCGGAGCAAGTGGGCTGGATACGTGCCGGATGTTGCGGGGACGGGCGGCGCGGGGAGCGGCCCGTGGGTGCCTGGGATTGGGTCGGGCGGGCCGACGGAGGCCGTGCGACTGGGAATGGGCGACAGTGCGACGACGACGACGGCCATGTTCGAGTCGACGACGACGCCGCCCATCCCGCCTGACGCTGTTGCGCTGGGGTTCCCGTCAGGACAGGTGCGATGTGAGAGGGGTGCGGGGGAGGGGCGGAGGGTCAGGTGTGCTACTGGGGGAAAAACCGTGCGGGGGGGGGGGGAAGAAAGGGACCGGGCAAGGGGGTTGAGGGGGAAATGGCGGGTGCGAGTGAATGGGGAAGGAAAATTGTCTTGCGCCGCTACCCCTGCCTGACCTTTATTCCCCCCGTCCCCTTTCTGTCCCCTCCTTACCCTTCCTCCTTCCCTTTCCGCCGTGGCACCCTACCCTCCCCGCCACCCGCCTCAGGCCATGCTGAATGCGTCTCTTGGCGTTGTGACATCCACAGCAACAGCCGCCAGCAGCAGTGCTGCAGGCGTGACTCTTGAATTTGCTCCCTCCCATCCCTCTCCTCCTTTTCATCCTTCCGCTATTTGAGGTGCCTCAAAAGTCGCCTCAAGAGGCGCCTCAAAAGCAGTGCTGCAGGCGTGACTCTCAAATTTGCTCCCTCCCCTCCCTCTCCTCCCTCTCCACTCTCTCCTCCCTCTCCTCCCCGCCACCCGCCTCAGGCCATGCTGAATGCGTCTCTGGGCGTTGTGACATCCACAGCAGCAGCCGCCGCTGGTGCAGGCGTGACGGTGACTGTGTCTTACAGCATTCTTGTCTTTCCAATTGACACCACCACCGACCCCACTGCCAGTGCCTCTGCTGGCACTGGAAGCATTGGAAGCACTACTGGTACCGGCAGCACCAGCAGTGGGGGCACCGGCAGCACCGGCAGTGGGAGCACCGGCAGTGGGGGCACCGGCAGCAGTGGTAGCACCGACAGTAGCAGCACCACCACAAGCAGCACTGGTAGCACCACCAATACTGCCAGCACCAGCAGCACAGGCACCACAGGTACCAGTACCGACACCGGCAGCACTGGCAGTAGCGGCAGCACCACAAGCAGTGGTAATGCAAATCCCAACACAGCAATTGACACCAGCAGCAGCGGCAATACTGCCTCGGGTTCAGCCTCGGGTGCTGCCTCGGGTTTAGCCTCGGGTGCTGCCTCGGGTTTAGCCTCGGGTGCTGCCTCGGGTTCAGCCTCGGGTGCTGCCTCGGGTTTAGCCTCGACTTCTGGTTCTCCTTCTGTTTCTCCCAATCCATCCTCGTCCCAGACTTTTTCCATAGCTGCGGTTACAGGCAGCAGCACCGCGGCCGGCTCATTAGGTGACAGCACAGGCTCAACAGTTGCGCAGAGAAAGCAGTTACCCCAACCCGTTACACCTGCCCGATGGTTCTTAACCGGCCCTGATGCCCGCGCTGCCGCCGCTGCTGCTGCTGCCACTGGCAGTTCGAGCGCAGCTTCTGCGTCTGCCATGTCAGCTTCCAAGTCAGCTGCCACATCAGCTTCGAAATCAGCGTCCACGTCAGCAGCAACGTCAAAGTTTGCGGCAGCAGCGACAGGGACAGCAGCAGGGGGTGCGGTGAATGGCGGTGTGCCGTCTGGCACGCCGCAGTGCCAGGAGGGGCCGTATGTGAGCGCTGCCTTGATCCCTCTCGGCAAGTGCAAAGTGAAAGCCACAGCTACTTCGAAGGTTGTGAGGTACGAACTTTCCTCACCTCTTTCTCATTGTGGCTTATCGCCCTAACCCCCCCCCCCCCCCCCCCCCCTTTTTTTTTTTTTTTTCCCATGCAGCCGTACCTACTCTTTATCGGTAGGTCAAGACGTGTTCGGTATATCCTTATGAAGGTCGAGACGTGTTCTTAATCCGTCGTGTTCACTTTATTTTCTTTGCTTCTTTTTTTCCTCCTTCCTTCCACGCTCCCCTTCTCTGCAACCTCCTCCCAGGATTAGCAAGGCATGGTATGCCAAGCTGTCATATGGGGAACCCGCCGCTTCCAAATCATCCTCTGTGGTCTATGTAGGCTGCCAGCGGAAATACACTTTCCAGGTGCCCAATTTTCGAGGGCAGGTGCGCCAGGGCCCGGTCACACTGCGCGTGTGCCAGGCGGGCACGGCTAAAGCTTCCACCTGTGGACCAGTTACCATGACTTCAGCAGTACCTTACTGTGGCTAGCAAATCGACCAGTTTGCTTCCAGATACTTTTTTAGTGTATCATAGTAGTTGATTGGTGGCGGTGATGCAATGTCACCCATATTTTATGTTCCGTTCATTTACATTTCAATCACTACGCAAACCTGTAAGGAAAGAAAACCAGGTTTTGTCAACGTTTCGCTGCAGTCCGTACACCCAGTGCAGCACATGGGTGCGACCAAAAGCGCGTATACTCGAATGAATTTCACATGGGTGTAGCATTGCATCTAGTGCGCAGTCACCACCCACCACGAATCTCGCAGAGCAAATGAGTTTGTCCCGTGAGCAGGGGAGTACTCACTTGAAGATCGCACGACGTTGGAACGTTCCGGGTTACGTAAATATCCAGACTTGGAAAGTTTTGAGCCTCGAATAAGCACATGAGATCGGAACTTGCTTCTCCCCCTGTAACACGTGGCTAGTGCCGAGGGGGGTCTAGCAGACCCACAAAGTTCGCGGCGCCGCACT